GGATAAAATGATTTTATGACATTTTTTACATAAAAATCCAATATCAGATGTCCCATTTCTGACATGGCGTTGATTCCTTAATATAGAATAAAATACAAATACAATCTGTTATTAGTTCTAAACATATTTGTTTTTTTTAATTAAATTTATGGACTTAAGTCCAGTTAACTCATATTTGACTAAAACACACATTCTTTGTACTTTGTTTAAACATTCCCAAATTTTTAATCTAACCTGCTTTCATGGATTGACGTTACTCTTTTAAAATGTGTCCATATATGGAAAAACCTCTTTCAGAAAAAAATGGTATCAACCTTTTTTCATTTTTGCTTGTCCTTGTAAATAAAGATTAGAATACATTTAATATAATTGCTCTCTTCAAGGAAGTTTTTGAAAGTGTTTTCTGCTGGGGAAATGCTGAAAAATTATTTTATGTTTGTGATTAGTTTGTCTGCTTCCAGGATATTAGTGCCTGGATATTACTGGCTAGAACCAATAGTACTTCCATTGTAGGTCAAATGCAGAGAATTTGGTAACAAATCTCAAAGGAGAGCATTGTTTTGCTTGATTACATAAGTGGCATTATCAGTTCCAAATTCAGCTATGTGTTTTACAAAGCCTTCAGCAAGTGGCAAGTTATTAATATTGTCTGAAAAGCAGTATCCACTAACTGTAAGTTGTTTTTTAGATGGTTGTTCATTTGTTGGTTCTTGAATTTTCTGCTTGTGCACACCAGCAGTTTTGGGGATATATTCCTGTCTCAGGCATCTTGCAGATGGAATGTTCCCCCCCCCTTCCCGAGACTTACGTGTTTATTAAGGAATTTACGCTGTCTAGTTTTTCCAGGGGAATACTAGCAGAGACAAATGCCTCTGTCAGATAGCAAATAACTTAACTTTCCTGCCTTTCTTTTCCTTTTTCTTATGTAAGATGATGTCTTACAATTGTCAGTTTGAATCTTTAATGTTTTAAAATGTTTTTGTTAAGTGTTGATCTACTTTTGCTTTTTGGTACAAAAGATAAATTGCAGGTGGTGCAAAATAAGCAATTATATATCAATCCATGTAGGGCACACTAGGTATTTATTTCCTATCTCTTTGGCCTCTCAAAGAAACACAGTGTATTTTGTATTTACATGCACATCCATCTTTTCAAGATGATTATTGTTTGGATTAGTGGAATCTGAGTTTCTATATGGACCAGTGGAGTTTAAGGACTGATTTGTAATGTTATACAAAATGTGAAAATGCACAGCCCTCATTATGCATTCATCAAGATCAAAAGTACTTAAACTGCTAATTGCACTTTTTCACACATGGTAGTTAAAATAATATGTTGGCAAAGTGGTCAACAAACAAGCTCCTTATAATGAAAAATATTACTCAAACCTTTTTCTCAATTTCTTTCTTTAAACAGTGTGGGTTTTTAAATAATATTTTAAACCAGTATTCATTCAGCTTCCCCCCTAATAAATCAACACCATCAGCTTGGACCTGTTTTCAGCAGCCACCTGTGTCAGTCAGACTAAATAAGGAGACAGTTACATAAATATAGGAGAGAACAGTAGAGCTTCTGTTCATTAACACTCTGCATGTCTAAAGGTCTATTAAAATGTTTACAAGCCATAAAAGGACACTGAATAAACATATTACACTTGTGCCACATATTTGACTATTCACTTCTCACTAGGACTGTAATTTTTCAGGAGCATGTCAAGGAAAAGCTTTGTGTCATAGCTAAGTCTTTAAACATGTCCAATTTGAAAAAAAAAACTGCTTAGAGAAACAAACCTATTATAGTCTGCAACTCCAGCATTTTACTTGGTTGTTGTTTCACTGCCTAAATCCACACACACTGCATATTAATCTACTGTTTGCTTAAAAAAATTCTGGCTGAAAAACCAAATGAAAAAATACACTTCAGTCTGACAGGGACTGTTTATTCCCTCACAGTGGAAGCGATAATGGCACCAATCTCACTAACACCTAAGAGGACAGAACTAGAACAATTAAGGATAAATAAGTGTACAATAGCAAAAATGCTTTGTACAAGTAGAAATATGAGTTATGGAGCCACTAAGACTCTGTTTATTCTTTGTGGCTCCCTATGAAATCTTTAACATTCAGACAATACGAAGAAGAAGGGTACGAAGAAAACTTACATCTAGCAGTAAGTCTTTCAGCGTGGAGAACTAATATAGATTCCAGTGTTTCTTGGAAATAAGTTCGCAGTTAAATATGCTTTGCTTAAAACTACCCATGCTAATGGCCGTTAGCAGCGACTCAAAAACTGACAGGGATATTGATTTTTACTTTAAAAATGCTTTTTACTTTTTAAAATATCATATTAATGTGTAATAACCAAATACCAATATTTGAGAAAACTGGCTTCACTGGTTTTACATTTTTTTGTGAAGGCTAAAAACATTTTATAATTAAGAGTTTATGAAATGGAAGCACTTGGTAGCTTGTACATTTTTTAAATATCCTTGTCAAATTATAATTAATAACAGGTTTCATTGGAGTTTAAATACATTATTGTCTCTTGCAATTTTTGAATCCATATTGCACTGCAAATGTTTTAAAAATGAATTGAATCATAGATCACAGTATATTACAGCTGGATAACTCATCAACTCACTGACCAAAGTCTTACAGTCATGAACTTATGTAAGTGGTAATTGCAAAAATACAGATTTATAGAAACAAACATTATAAAAATACAATAGAAAGGAGCTCAGAAATCAGTTTAATCTTCATCTTGGTTCTATTGACTATGAAAAAAGAGTCAGAAAACCATGTCTTCTCCTGCTCTTCCTCTTTAACACAAGACTTCTCTACAAAAATGTCACAAAGGTTTTCTTAATTCTGAACTCTGAAAGAATTTGTCTCCACGGTTTCTGGAAGCGTATAAACTCTCCAAAGCTGTCCTGAACACAAAACCATTTCTTTCTTGCTCTCCAACTTTGTGAAAGAGCAATTTTGGAGAAGAATTCTGACTCGCCTTGTGGAAGTTTCTTTTTCTTGTTGCAGTTGGCTGCAGTGTATATGAATATGTTTTTGTTTTATCGAATTAAAGCCACAAATGTATTATCATAACGATATATATATTTTTTCTAATCAATGACTAATTGTTTCCCAAGAGGCTTTTTAGTTCTAAAGAAAAAACAGTTTCATGCTCCTGGCCACAGAATTCTTGGCCAAAGCATATTCCTATAATCTTCTTCACTGGAGTGACTGCTGCTGATGAGGCATAATTTTAATAAGAACATTCTAAAAGAGCTGTTTTGGCTTTTGTAAGCAAAAGTTACATTCTTATTCTACTACAAATAAACCAAGGAAACACGATTTCATAATGAGCTGGTTTTGTATTAATTAAATTGTCTGATGAAACAATTGATCCTCTTCAAAAATAACCTGAGCCAGAGATGGAAATAGCTGGCATCACATTGCAATTGGAGATGTGTAAAAGGGAATGTGATTTTATGTGTCGTTTCTTGATTTGAAGCAATACTTAATATAATTTAAATTATTTTGGTTTTAAAATACATAAAATGATGTACAGCTGAAAAAATATATTATACCCCACTGAAATAACATTGTGTGATTTATTTAATTCCCCGAGTAATATTGCTTCTTAATTTGATTTTGTACTTAGAGTTTATGATTTTAATGATTTATTGTATCTGAAAATATGAATTTATTTTTGAATGCTACAGTTAATCCTATATCTTGTCCACATAAAGCACAGATTCTTGTAGATACCTCTGTAACTACATTCATAAAGAACATGTCAAAAGTTGTTAATAACCCTAACAGTTAAACCGTAAAAACTGGACATCAGCACTTTAGGGACAGACAGTGTTTGGTAGAAGCTAAGGACTTTGGACTCCCCATGCCTCATGTGACGGTTGCTTTAGGTTAATGCAATCCCCACCCCACCCCAATTTATACAAGTCCTGAATTTTTAAGCTGAAGAATTGCTGCCGACAATGTGTATTTGTCCTGGTCATGGTGTCATTATGATCATCAGTCCACAACAAAAATTGAGACACAATTCATGTGTATTATGGGGATGGGGTAATATTGGATATTTACATCCACTGATGTAAAAGGATTCTTTCTTTGTAACTTCAAATAAATCCAACTAAAGAGGAATAATTAACAACTATTTTTATTACTATTGTGTATGGACATTTCTTAGAGTGCTCCAGTTTACTAATAAGCTGATTAGCTACATTAAATTGCCCATACTGTGAGGAGCAGGAGTGAGACTCCTTTCTCATTGATCTGCCTTTTTGGTGCTGTATAATTTTGCTAGAATGCCTACCCCAGCTTAATTGGAATAAGGTTGAGGTGAAGAAGATCATGCATGGACAATATTTATTTAATACAGCTGCTTTTTAAATTGTTATACCATCTGTATCTGAAATGGGTATTTTAAATGCAGACACAACAAATGATCACTGTCAACTTAAATAAAATGTGACTTTTAAAATTGTCCTGTGACTCCTGTTTCAAAGCATACATATAGCCGGATACTCCATAGTATTGGAAAGATTTCCAGTCCTGGAGCAGCCATTTCTGTAATCATTTCACAAAAGGAAAATTCTATAATGTGAGCTGATCCACAGAAATCTCTTCTAATCATGTAAACAGAAAGTGCACATTGAGCTGAGCCTGCTTATCACTATTGATGGATGTTCTCCCATTATTTTTGTGGAGGAAGCCAAGGAATATTAATGTTCCAGTTTACAGATAACAGCATTAATATGGCCATGTGCGAAACGCACTAAACAGTAAGCTGTTGTGTGCAGTACAGTTAGGATCAAGTATTCTGTGTGTCATGGATAAGAAGAACACCACTTTAACTCTGTAAAGTCTTCCCTTCTCCTTTCTCTCTCTCACACACACAAGTGCACACACTCTTTCTATTTATTTATTTCTGTCTCAAAGATGGGTGCTGCGCTCCTGTACTTGAGCACAGTCCTTTGCACTGACCTTGGAGATGCCTGGTCTTGAAGAGGTCTTTTGGTTTTGTAGGATTGGCTCTTGCATTCCCATCACATTTGGGCTGCTCATACCTACAAGATACGCAAGCATATAAGGAGTGTCTAGGAAGCTATTTCAAAGCTTTTACTCACCTGCTTCTAACTTCCCCAACAAATTCAGCTTTGTTTTAAAAAATAATGCCTCAGAAAAAGATGACATATTTGAATGAACTTTAGCTGAATTTGCAATATGAATCCTTTTTGTGTTTATTTTCAAAAAGACAGGGAGCATATAACACCGTGAATGTAGAAAACCATTCTTAATGCGTGGAATGGAAGGATTTTTTTTCTGTAGTCTGGATTTCAGTGTCTTCACTGTATGCAGCATAAAACAAAGGTTTTGAGAAGGTCAATCCCTAATCTCACCCAATTCAGCCTACCTTTGTATAAGTATCACTCTTCTTGCCTGCTCACTTGCAAGTTTGCACACCCCATATTTGCCCTTGCAGCAGCCTTCTGTCTCATCCTTCATTAAAAGGGAGGAGGACTTTAGCTGCCCCATCCTTGCAGACATGTGGTTCTCCTCCTCAACCCTGTGATTTACGCCAGTAAAGATCACTATTCAACTCATCCCTCTTCTTCACCTTAATTAGGGTTTGACCAAACTACTCAAATAGATAATAAATATAGTTAGAGTTTTATAGAAAAGTACATTTAAAAAATCTGTAGAAAAATTATATAGAAAAGTGCAACTTATTTCAGATGCATGTTTGATACGCATGCATATTTTGAGATTATGTTAAAGTCATTCTTTGCTTTTATTCCCTTCCCTGTCTGGCTATATTTGCCCTTTTAAATTAAAGCACTGAATGTGGAACTGATGTCACTTCTTAATCAAGAGAATTGGGGAAAATGAATTTAACAATCTTTGCTTTGATCTCAATATGTGTGTTTATGGTATACAATTCTTGGCATGAATACTATTGATATTTTACATTAATTATAAAACCTCTATAAGTGGTGTATGATATATGTAGAATAGTGAGTTTCTATATGGTGTTTTGGTGAGATTTTGTTTTTGTTAAAATCCACTCTGAGCAAACGCCAGACCCTTCTGGCTGAAAGGCCATCTGATATGTGATGAAACTTCATGCTGGTACTCATTAAGCTCCAGGAGTGAGAAAGGCACCCCTCTGGAGACCAGGATAGAAGCTGCTTTGATGGCGAGGCTGAAATGCATTGGATTCTGATAGCTGATGGGTGACCTCTTGAATCAGCCAAGAAAACAAGTGAAAGGGAAATCTCCATGCTACACGCACTAATGTGGAGTCTGGCATCCTGCCTGTTGCTCGATTAATCTGATACCCCACTTTACATTTCTTTCACTCATTAATTCTTGTTCCCCACACATTTTCTCATTTCCTAAACCTTCTAGGCAGTGAACCACTATGAACTACCTTGTTAACTTATTATCTCTGGACAAGCTCATACTGCTACTAATGCTGCAGTTTATAAATTAGTCACGCACCTGTAGGCCCATCAAGAATCTCTATCTTAATTTTCAAGATTGAAAAACAATAAAAAGAATCTCTTCAAGGACTGGGAGTAGCCACCAGAGCTATTACACAATTATATAACAATTCTCAAGGTTTATTTGAAAAGTTTGTGGTGCAGTTACTGTATAACGTTAAAGGAAATTCAAGGCTGTTTCTCTCACTGGAATCTACAGTGTGTAATGTAAGTTGCCGTGGGAAGTGATTGTAGAAATATTACAGCCGGATGAAGACAGAGCTATTTTTTAAGAGCTCAGCACTGTGAGAGAAAGAATAAGAACATAACACATACACCAGAAAAGGTGTTTTGTCCTGCAACATAAAGAGAAGTAATATAAAAAGAAATGTAACATTAATTGTACAGTTTTAAACTTTTCAGAAATCCTTTCACCTGTCCTAGACACAGATAAGGCCAAGGCTAGAGAGAGCAAAGAGACTCCCGTGTGTCTAGCAGGGAACTGCAGTATCTGCAACACAACTACTCCTGCTGTGCAGGCAGAAAACAACATCTGACTGCGGGATGCTTTGTGTGAAATATACCACAAAGCTCCAGGGGGATTAAATCTTCCTGAGAACTCTCATACATGCCTCTGCATGATTCATAGCTACATTTGAACTTTATATTATTGAAGGCAGGCTGCTTGGGAATTCATACACTGATGAACTAATCTCCCCTTTAGAGCACTATGATTTATGTGTCGAAACCAGTGACAGAGAAACCGACAGTAAGCCATAAGGGCAACAGAGGAAGTGGGCAGCTTGTCAAAGGGTGCAAACCTACCTTGTGGATGTACCAGGGATGGGACGTCCTGTGTCCACGAGCACACACCAGCAGTACCCCGTAGAGGGGTGACACTGCACAGGTTTGTACAGACCCCCGCTGGCACACTCAGGAATAAAGATGGCTTCATTCTTGTTCTGCCTTGCTTCCTCCTGTGCGGACTGGTGCTCCTGATCACAGGAAGAGGCTGCAGAGGAAATCATTAACAAACTAGCAGAACTACAATTTCACGGTATTATAAAGCTATCCAAGGTGATACAGAGCTTTGAGGCACAGAGATGGGAGAATCTCTCATCCAGCCATTTCTTGAAAGAACCAATTGGCACTGGCTCCAACAACATGGCTGATAACTTGTTCCAGATCCCCACAATCTTTTTGAGTACAAAAAAATGCCTCCTGTTCTCAATTTTAAATGAAATAGTTATGCTAATGGGATTATATGGTTATTCATCAATTGTGATTAAAGGAGTTAGCAACAATGGTATTTTTATTAAAAAAACAGCAATTTCTGTTTTTGACATTTCTCACAACAGTCTTGATTATATATAAAAATACTAATGCAACACAAAACTGGTACCCCATTGCTAATGGGAAAATTGTAATCATATCTGCTTTGTTAAATGGATTTTCTCAGTGCTGTCGAATTATTTATTAAACATGTCAGTCCGTCTTTACATCATAATTTTCACTCCTTTAGAGTTTGTGGAATAAATTATTTTTCTCTTGCATGGCTAAAAGAACAAAAGATAAACAAGTATTGTATATGTGTCGAAACAAATAACACTGGCAGACTTTTCCTGGGAAACTTTTCCTGTATTCTCCTCGGGACCTTGCTAATTTCCCTTCATTCTGGGCTGCATCACAGTTTCATGCTTTTGGTTGGCAAAGCAAACCCAGACCTTCAAATGGAGCTGGTTAGTTTATTATACTATTACAGCTATTGAAGAACACATAATATGTCTTCCATAAAGACCAGAAAATTTATTTTATTTGTTAAGATTTTTTAACAACATACAAGACTGTGTATTAACAATAGGCTAAACAAGATGGCACTGAAGAGTCTTAATCAGCAAATGAGTTTAACTAAGTCCAGCCAGTTCTGTCATGTTTGTATTCTTTTTCTGAGGACAATAATATGAACAAAATAAGTTTCACATTTAAGGGAGTACAAAAAAACTCTTAAGCCTGATTTTGTGAAACACAGAAGTTCAAGAAAATACTGCATTTCTGTGCCCTTTCACCCCAGTCTTTTAAACACTCACCAAACATTTAAACAAAAGTTCCCAATCATGTAATAATTGCCAACTCTGTTATCTGCTCCACTGAAATATTTAGAAAAAATAAGAAGCTAATGTCTTTTCAGTGCTTCGGGTGCCAAGGTAAAATAAACATTTAAAAGTCTGATGTCTTTGTCAGCAGTGGCCAGTGTGGCTCTGCCCAGTGTTTCACAGCACTGCTTGTTTACTTGTGAGTCAGCAGGGTAGTGATAGGGAAATCTAATGCATTCGCTTTGGCAACATAGTTAAAAAAATATCTTCGACTGATAACTGAATCAGCATATCCATAAACAAGCAGCCTAATAAGGCATCTTGTGAAGATATTCACATTCTCATTCCAGGGAATTTAGTGCTGCCAGAACAAGTAAGACATTTTAATCAAACTATTTCAAGACAAATTCTGTTCTGAGTTCTCCTGACCCTTGGTTCACTGGCAGACATTAGGCGTACACTTAAGGTCACGCACTGTAGTCTATGTGAAATGAATGTTTTGTCAGATAGGGGAATGAAGTGGAAGTTTAATGATTTTCTCCCCTGATTTGAGCTTTTGTAACCTCCTGTACCTTGTACTCTTAAAATAGATACAATACCTTGAGATCTAGTTCTGTTGGTCTGTCTGCTTCTCACTTGTTCAGTCCAGAGAGTCGGATATTGAGATATTAAATCTAAAACAAAAAGATATTCCAGAATTTAGCCACATGTTTCACTGTTCATTTTATCTAATCAAAAATATTTTGTCATGATAAACATACACCTCCCTCTCCGTAGAGTCTGAAACACTTTCTTGCCTTTGACTCCTATTTCCTGGACTACTGCACCATTCATACTGGACTCCCTTCAAGTTTCAATCAGCAAGCTAGCAGATAAAAAAACATATCTGAGAGAATTCCTATGGCACAAAGTGGTACGAACATGCTACTGCACACATGGTTTGACCAGCAAGGCTTCAAGCCTAGTTTTGAATTACTTTGAAGACTTTTCTCCTAACCTATCAAGCCCCTCCACAACACTAGGAGTGGTAACCTCTCCAATCAGCATACTCCCTGTGTTCTTACGTGATAACTGATGCTCTGCTTCTAGCATGTTTGCAACTTCTACTTTTGACAGCTGCCCTTGGAAAGTACTCTTTCGGTTTTATGACACTATCACTTTGAAACTCTCTGCTACTGTAAGAGAAGCCCCAAACATCTCCTTGTTAAAATCTGCATTGATGACACATCTGTTTTCCCTTTCTTTCACTTCTGTCTTCTCACCTGGCCCTCTTTTCAGTCCTACAACAGGCACCAGCAGGTAAATGGAGCAACACACCTGCTGCTTTTCTTAACATTCAGCTGACATTATTTTTGCAACTGCTCTTTCTGGCCAGGGGTGATTTCTTTGCATAGTTTATTTTTTTAGCCTTGCTTCTCATTTATTATAAATTTCTAGGCTTTCTCTATATATGTGACCTTTCCAAAGACATGGATACTAGAGTCTTGAATCTTGTTGTTGTGGCCTTTTTATTTTTTTAACATTATAAACATAATGAATTACAAGATGATAAATATGAATTCTGCTTGATCAAATTAATTCTGTTGCTGTGTTTCCCCCTTATTAGCACAAAATGGTTATTTTCGACCAGTGACACATAAGTAAATATATATTTCTCAAGGATTATATATAGTACACAAAGCAGAATATTAGAAGTCTGTTTTCTAATGTTCTGTGTCAGAACTAATTATTATTGGAATGTGAATAAGTCATGGGTACTTGATTGTAGGACTGTACAGTATATGAAGCTTACTTTATAACAACTCTTTTGATTTATAAACTTTTTACATTAATGGTAAATCCATCTTTAAGGCTTGGCTTACTATGAAAAGGAGTCTATATAAAACTCGAAATGGATTGATGAGATGACAATCAAGCAGAGCAGAGAAGTTATGAGATATATCACCTCGGGAATCACAGCCATTTAATTGGAAAGGAAGTGAATATAAATGGGTTGCTCCACATAAAGACTTCTGCTTGTAGTTTTAATATAATATAATGTTTTTCTTTAGAATGAAGGGACGATCTCACCTTCTTCATCTGTGGGTGGTGGTGGCTCCACTACTCCTCCTGCAGGCTCATCTGAATTTAGAATGGATAAGATTTGCAAGGAGACTACAATTATGAGAGTAAGCTAGATATCACTCTACATTTGTCAGTAGCTCATGATTTGCACATAGCCCGGCCAATAGGAAAAATACAGAGAGAGCAGTGGGGGTTGGGCTGATCAGGAAGGGACCTAGAAAGAAAGGGGGAGGGGGAGTGATGGGTCAGCCAAAGAAGGAGAGGGAGACCTACGAAAAAGTCAAGAGAGCAGAGATACTGTCAATGATCAACAATGGGTAGAGGAGGGAAGGAAAGACTGAGAAAAAAACAGTACAAGTATTACATGCTTCTTGTGTTGGGAAACAGCATTTGTGGTCTGTAAACAAGTGAAGGAAATGTGTAATAATTTGTATTACTCATTAATGAGTAAATACATTAACCACCTCTCAGAGCACAGCTTTAGACACCTCACAACTCCAGCAACTAGAAAACTAAGGGGGAGACAGCAAAGGTAAGATTGATGAGTCATAAACATAAGAATCCCAGGAATTAGAAGAAAAGACATACCTAGGCAGGAAAAAAAACAGTCTAACAACAAAGTCTGAAAACAGATCCTAGTTCCTCTGAAATAAAGGGGAAAACGACAGTAGAATATGATAATTAAAATGCTAACAGTCTTTCCTTTGTTAGCAGCAGTCTGGAAGTGAATGAATGATATGACCCAAATGCATGAAAACAAAAAGGAGGGGGGAAAGCAAGTAAATCAAAACTTAAAGAAGGAAAATTTTTGGTTTTGAGAGATGACAACCAAACCTTTAAATACAGGTCACAATACATGGTTCACTTGTTATCGCTTTGCCTTATTTCATGCTTGTTTGCCCTGTTACTAATTTTGCTTTTGAACTATTTCCATAAGTAAATTAAAGACAGGGTTGTTGCTTCTGTCAATGGAAACAATGACAGAGCTATTTTGCTGACTGTCTTCCACAAATGAAAAGTACTGTACAGTAGGTATAAACATCATCACTGCTATACATCACCCAATTGGGAGCTACTGTACATTTCAGTGGTGGAAGAAGTGGGTCGCGTCCTGTATATAAAGCACTTTGGGTATCTTTTAAGATGAAAAGAACTATACAAATGAAGTTAATTAACCCATTAATTAATTGATATGTTCACTCCATAAGCTAATAATAGTCTCTTTCTTATAAACCGAGAGAACAACGCCTCTGTTAGTTAGGTTTACACCAGACATTCCCAGGAGATACCTGTGCTTGAAAGAAAAATAGGGCATCAAAAATGAGCCAAGGTTAATTTTAAAGACATGAGAATAGAAAGAAATCCAGACTTTGAAATATGCATGAGTTTACAGATAATTATCTGAACCAAATAAATCCTTCTTATTGAGACAGACTGTTCCCTCAAGGAGAAATGAAAAAATTCACTGAACAGAGCTTCAGTGTGAGTGCAGACATTCAGGTTTTCTGTAGTAGTTACATTGTTCTGTCACTGGCTATTATTTTACTCAATTTACTGCCCAGACTGAATCTTATTTTATACACGTGTCATGTACATGTATCTCAGAAAAAGGGTAATGAAGGATAGAAATATTAGTTATTTTAAACGTTTACAACACGAAAGTGAGAATTAGAAAAGGCCATTAATATTACTTCCTGTTGACAATCAGAAATTTATGAGCGCTACAAAAGCAGAAATGGCCATGACGATTTTTTAAAATATTTACCTGCTTTTCCTGGTTCTTTTTGTGATACCTTCTCTTGTTTTGATCCTAAAAAATAATGTTATTGTATTTAAATAACCCTGATAAAAGCATTTGTTGCCGTAAAGTTCAATAAAAAAATTCTAATGGCAAAGAATTTGCTCTTGCTCACATATTCATTTATCTGTAACGATACTTCTTTTTTTTTCTTTCCCCTTTTTCTGTATGTAGACATACATTATTTTTCATATTTTATTTTTAAGACATCGCAATTTTGGAAACATTTTATTTTTCAATACCAATGTACTGTAGATAAATATAATGAACCTACAGTACATGACAATTGCTATTGATTAAAATAAATAAAATCTCTAGATTTCTTGCATATTACTTTAAAGGTCTCAATATTCAATTGCTTATTTTTTAACAAATTCTACTTCATTTACATATGTTATTAATCCCCACAATAATTCGTCTTGGTAATAAATCAGTACCAGTTAACCCAATACTCCATGTTACAGTTCCGTACTACCTTGGCATCTGGGTTTTTTATTAGCTACAGCTGATCCGCTGATGGGCCTCCCATTTGGAGTGACACACCAACAGTACCCTGTGTAGCTATGGCACTGCACCTGAAACAGCACAACACAGCTTTAGATAACCAAATGCTAGAATACAGTCACATTCCTCTGCTTTACACAAAATTTTAAAAAGGATTTAGCATCTTGTGGCATTAAACGAATAATTCACATACAGCTTAGTAAAGTTTAGCCCATTGTACAAACTAAATTCAGTGTTAAAGCTCATATAACAATTTTAAATGATTTTGTGTTGTACCAGTCATTTTTCACCCAGTGATATTTTTGCTATTCCCTCAGGAATAACAAAAAGCCTTTCAAACTCTGATCTAGTTTGTCATTTCATTTAAAGACTTGAAGCAGGACCAAATCAAAACTTTGACCCACTCTCAATCACAAATTACAAACCTATTGCTTTCCTCTAAGCAAAAGGAAGAGGCCTCTAGCAAACTCAAATCCACCATGAAGTCCTGGCAGATCGGTGAAATGTTTATTGGGTCCAGACCTTGGCCATGACTCTGTTGTACCTAAAACCTTCTCCATAACCACACTGCACTGAAAGCATAATTGCACTATAAAATAACATCATTATATGTGTTTTTAGTGTGTTTACATATACTAGTTTATCTTAAAGTTTGGGTTCTTACCTACATTACATAAAGTGATGAAAGTGTACAAATCTAGATTGTGTCTATTTTTTACTGCATTCAACCATAAAAGAAAGTATCAGTTACTATTATTTTTCAGTTCGCTTGCCATAGGAAGACATACCGAAATATCTGGTACTGACTGGTTTAATGCAATTTGTAGTGAGGATCTCACGTAGTGGGTGACAATCAAAACCCTGTATTTGATTAAATGAACATGTCCAAAACGCATGAGAAGATTCTAACTAGGAGTAAGAAATGATGAACAACTCTGGATCCCATTACTGTGTCTGCAGGTGAATACCTCACTGTATGTGCCATCTGGGTTGCACACTGGAACAAAAACTTGAGGAAAAACCTTCTTTGCTTGCTGTTCTGTGTATTTTTTTTCTGCCACACATCTGGAAGTATCTAAAAAAGATATAAAAAGAGATTTATAGGAAGAATATTCTGTTTATATTTTATGAAAGGAGGGAATAATTCAAGATGTTTCGGAAGTGGTTATCATTCGTGGACTGGGAAAACAACCAACATACTATTCTTATTAGAACAGCTGACTACTAACCAGCATGACATCAACTGCCAAGTGGTTAAACAATTAAGATATACTTGTTCCGTACTGCATGCAGAAGCAACCAAGAAATCAGACATGCACAAAATACACCCTGCAAAGAAATAATCTAGGTTTTATCAAAGTTCAGGTGAGAACAACAATTCTCAGACAGCAGAAATCTTCCTTCCTCCCCATTATTTTTAAATATTTAAAGACATAAAAGCAGTTATATTGAATACAATTCCAAATAATGTTGAAATAACATCTGTGCTTTTTCATAAGTACCAAAATGTAGTAAAGTTACATTTTCTTTTAATGAAGTCTTAGTCAGTGCCCAATAATGGGTAAGCATTGTATTGTTATTGTTGTTGTATTATGTTATCATAATGAAAATCCTAATCATTATTATGACTGCTGCACTTCTCTTACTGATGCAGGAGAGGACAGTTAGCTTTGGTGGAAAATGAAAGTGACCCCATTCTCAAGCCCCAGCTGGAAAAACTGACACAAAGTTGAATCATCTAACTTATAGAAAACAAATGTGATTCCTGCTCGGGATCTGCAGGCTTTGTGCCTCAATGATCAGCTGACATAAGTCCTCTGTATGCTTTCAACCAGAACAGTTGCAATTAATTTTTTTGAAGGTCTGCAAAACTCCCATTTTCCAGGAACTTGTATGGACTCAAAAGTCAGCTATTGGATTAGCAGCCTGTGATACACAATGAAACTTTTATTCCTTTTCTTCATAGCTTCTTAGCTGGAATTCTCAGGGCTAATACATGCAAGTCCCAGCAGACGTCTGGGTGTGCAGTTGTTGCTATGGTGCTTTATGAAGGCATGAAATCTAACTTTTCTACCAAGGACATTTTTCCTTGATCTATTATTCATTATTTAAAAGAATAACTCATTGTATTAACTGGGTGATAAACTGCAGAGGCGTAACTGGGCATAGGCTGTCCAAAGCATCTTCCTCCATCTGTAATACAACAAGGGATCTGTGAAAGCTCTGACCTTGCTTTCTGACAAGGGCATCATTTTTCACCAAACATAACACATGAATTCTGATCGATTTTGACAACATTGTGGATTTTCTCAAAGCTCTGCTCCTCTTTTTCACTCTGCCTATTATGTAAAACCAATGATGGTAATTTTCTCATAATAAGACTAAACTGAATAGAAGACCAATCATAAATGCCACACGATACTCCAAGAAGAAAAAGAGAGGAGAGAAATGAATAACATGGGTAACAGACACATTTTTCAGATGAATCTGGCTTGTAATCCAGAGAATCGTAACAATATATTGGGGCAAAATATGGATTGCTAAAGTGCTTTTTATTTATTTATTGATACCCAAAAGCCTTGAAAAGAAATAAATAACCAACAGAGAATAAAGTCAGGAATTTCTGTGGCATTTCTTTCCCCTTTAAATTAACAACTCAAAGAATTCTCTGAAAAACACAAGAAGAATTCTCAAAGAAACTCAATGCATGTATTATATTTTTCATAAACATCATTTGGTAGAGAATGCATGGCACAGCAGTTACTCTTTGCATTGAACTGCAATGACATTTGGAAATGTGAAAATGAAAGGCTTCTGTAACCAAATTGAAATGGTCATATTGGAAACATATTGCTCACTGCTGGGGGCCTTTCCAGTAAACAACGAATATGCAGTGTAAAAAAATCGGAAGATATACAACATCTAGTCAATAATAACTTGGTTCTTTAAGATTTATGTCTTATTGAAAGAGTCTCTTTTGTTTGTGTGTTACATTTTACTATACATTATTAACTATTAGCAGGCAATTAAAACAAAATTAAAGAACATACAATTAAAAAAAATTTGAAATTCAAAATAATTCTTAGTAAACATTTTCCTTTGAAATAAATTATTTTTTAACCATAGCTGAGTTTTTATTGTGTGTTCATGTTTGTTTTTATGGGGAATTTTCCAGAGTCAATGACACTGTGACTTTTATAGATACTCTTAAAATCACAAGTAAGAATGGAACTGAGAGTCAGGCTTGCTTATGTGTTATTTTGTGCATTTTTGCAGCTTTTTACGTAAACAAAACTCACCACAGAAAGACTTATTTTGAACAGACGTACTTCCTGCCTGCCTGACAATTGTAACTTGACAGTAGTGCACATTTGTAAATATTTCTTCACTTCTGTCACTAAAATCATATTTCAATTTTACTGTTTCCTAGTAATACAAGCGTGTTTGTAAATATAAAAGCAAGGAGAACTTTTAAGAAGCATTAAACTGAACTTTTTTCAGGTATGTTTTCTACTACTCAAATTCTTCACTCTGGCCATAAATAAGCAACCTTTATAACACATACAGTGCATACATGTGAGTAAATCAAGTAAATCAAATAAAAAGATATACCATTCTCATCCCTGGAGAACAGAATCATATTAAACAGTTAACATAGACTTACCAAAAGAATGCAAATATGTGGAAAGGATTTTTTTTCTTTTTTCACAAAGCATTGTTCTGTCCTACAGTTACTGATCTGGCTCTTTTGTAATCCATCAACAATACAGTTTTCATGTGGAATTCTTAGCATAGTTTAATGTTCTTCCTCTGCGGTGCTGGGACACACTGTAGTATTTTACTTGATCAACCATTTAAAAACACTGGGACATGCAAAGCCTACACGTGTATACACACAGATATACACATATGCATGTGTAGAAATAGGGAGAGCAGAAATGAGCAAGATTAAGTTAATGGAATGGCACCAAGTTTGGAAAAAAAAATCTGTTTTTCTAGATTCATTGATACTGATAGCGCCGTAAATATGACTGATGTTGAAACTGTACTCTTGTACTTTAGTTCTTAACAGTTGTGTGGTTATTCATAAAAGACTGGGGCCAGCAACCTGGCTAGTAGTTGATGCAGATTCTACAATGGTTTCTTCCAAGAAATGGCTGGATGAGATTGTTGTATCATTTAACCACTAATAACCCAAGAGGTAATCTTTCTTTTTTTCTTTATTCGTAAATTCCAATTGAAATGTTGATTATTGGAGAGTTTTATTCACAGAAACATAAAAATCTCAGTCTATATTTTAACATACACTAAATATATTTTGTCAGGGCAACACAATAGTGCAAACTCATGAAATGAAAAAAAAATTTAGATAATATGTAGATGACCACTTCTCTCTTTTCCAAAAATTTAACTTTTAGAAGAAAAATTTCTTGAGTAGAAAACTTAGGCTTCTATAGCCCTTCTGCAAATGCCCTTTGAATTTTACAAGCCATTACCACAAAGCACTTTCCAGTCTGCTCAGTAGTCATGCCTGGACAACTCTATTTATTTGCTTAGTAACTTCTACTGTTTGTTTTGACACTTGCTCATAATTTTAGTCACTTTTAGTGTGCCACTCTGCATGACCTGTCTTGAAGATGGTTTTAGGAAAGACGTAAAAGTTTGTCCTGATGTTTGAATGAGGCCATATGGACACACTGTCTATTTTTAGGAATATTCACCTTCTGTATGAAACAGGATCAGACAGAAAGTCTGACCAGGACCAATTTCAATTGGAAAACGTCCTACAGCACATAAACACTTAAAAGATACCCTTGATATAATTTTGATATAAGGGTGAAAATTTACTGTTTCTTCACAGAACACAATCTTGTGATCTTCCATGGCTGAAATCACATGACATCAGAGACAGTCAAGACCTCACAACTCCTTTTTAGTTCCTGTACAATTAATTGTTTTGGAGTAAGACGATTAGTGTTACTGAGAAAGCTCCACGTTAAAATTCTGATAGCGAAATTTTCTTGAACTTGAACATTTTTAAAATAATGTTTTCTAGTCCCTGTTTGTGGACTGTGGATGATCCCTGTACAGCCCAGTACGTTGGCTGATTATGCACAGGGGAGTGACAGGACAAGAGGGGATTAGAAGTGATCTGCACTACATTAACTCAGCAGCAGTTGGTTCGACATGCTCCTCACGAGCTGGCAGGCAGGCATTATAAACCCCTGAAATAGAGCCATCCAAGGTATTTGGGTGGGGCTGCTGTCTGTCATTACTGAACTCATGAAAGACGTATTGTGCACTTGGCAGTGTAGAGTGTGGTTTTTGTTTGTTGGTTAATTCTCCACCTCAGTAAGATCAGTTGTGTTCTGAAAGTTTGCTGTAGACCCCACACGTCTGTCTTTGTGACTGTAAGACACCTGGAAATGCCTTGAATGGCTCATTTCCACAATGGTAGCAGCAGTGATACAGCAGTCTTTGATAGCGCTTCATGTTTTAATGTAGTTAACTGTACCACAAAAGTGATATTAGGGAGGTTTTAATATCAAATGTAGAGGACCATTTTTAATACCTGACAAATGTACTTGCAGATGTATTAAAATGTAATTTGTGGTATATTTGTAGCTTGTCAAAATGTCATATTTGAGGTACTAAGCAATTCATTGAATTATTAATTAGCCAAAGTTTCTAAATTTACATTTGACATGGAAGTAAAAAGTACATATAAATTAATTTACTTTGCATTTTTGCACCTCTATAATAATGGTCCCAGAAGGACCAGCTTTTGAAATTGAATATATTTCTTAAAGTATTCAGTGCAGGCTTAAAATTCTGTCAAAGCCAAATGATTCCTATTCCCTGACCATCACCGTTCCTTGCAATTCCAAATTGCATTTACCTCCTACAAATATAGACTCAGTACAAAAACCCTGATGAGAGGAACAATTTTTGATCACCCGTGAGATGATCATTTTAAATAATGTAGTTGTTTTCAGTCTGTGAAAGTGAGTTCTCACATGGGTTCATATGGATTTTCAAAATACTATCAGTAAAAATAATAAATAATAATCAGTTATTGTACATAGTTAACATGTTCCTAGGAGGTGGAAACAAAGGGGATCAACAAAAGTCGACTCATGCTGAACACAAGTATAGTCATCAGGGGAGGTGTCAAACTCTTGACCCTAGAGCTCTGATGCTGCCCATTCGTAAGTACCAAATAATGGAGATAAAATGGGGATCTTTAAGAAATAAACTAAGCAATGAAAAAGCATAGTATATATGAGGCTCTTTGAAATTGTTAAGATTTCACTAAGACACAGAAGATTCCAAATACAAAAGCTCTTATGGATCACTTTTTAATACAATGCAAATAACCACACATTTCTTACAAGAAAATGAAAATGGTCCATGACCGATACAATAAAACTCACCTTTGCAGGGTCCCTTAATGACTTCTAGCTGGGGGTCTCTACACTTGGCTCTCTGAAACTCACATCGAGTCATGAAGGTTCGCCCATCAGAGGCACACAGGGGTTTCTTTGGTCCACCACTGCACTCCAGGTTGCATTCCTTATCTTGGTCCACCCGTAAAAACTGGGAGAACAAGAAGCATTTAAAATAAGTTCCAAGAAATCTTGATCCGTAAACAAACAACTTCCCAGTGCTGCAATAACATTGGCAGTTTGTGACAGGAAAGGCAATGTAATAAGAAACTTGCAAATGGGAAATGCATATAATCTTGTCAGTCTTTTCAGTTCTGAGATGTAAATGACACCTTCAGAGTACTGGCTGCAAGAGATGTTCACAAAACATACGCTCATTGTTGGCTGTTAAACAAAAGCAATAAAGCAGTCAAGTGGCATTTTGATTGGTTCATTACTTAATTATTAGTAAGATAAATGTAGAAACCACAACCACATAAACTGAAGCAAATTAAGCATATGCTGTAGCATGTCTTTTTCTTAATATAACCACAGTAAACCACAGTTGAATAATGTTACTACAGTAAGTTATTCTATGTCATAATTTTTCTGTGCATTCAATATAATGTGAGAATTTTTTAACAACAATGAAATTGAAAGTAATTTAAAATACTTATTTTTATTGAAAAATATCAGGCATTTGTCAAGCTCATAGAGGAGCAAAATAAGAGCTTTTATTTACAAAGTACAATTCTTTCAATGTGGGCTATGAATCAGTAACTTCCTAAGACTGTGGTCTAGTGACTGGAACAGAAGTATGTACAATATCTATTTCTTATTGAAACAAATTACAGTCACTGAGTTAAGTTTATCCTTTTAATAAAACATCCAACATAACACCCAGGGCTCTGGAAGTAAATGCAATATATGTACAGTAGCATCATTTCTATGCAGGGCATTGTAGGGTTAAGTTATTTTGTGTTAAAACCCCTTCAGTCTCTGTCATCATGCAGGGGAACATGCTGTCTGTTTTCATACCACTTTTCCCAGGAAAAACCTGTTTCTAATAAATCTTGTTTTTAAAAAACTGTATTGAATTGCCGAGTCAATCCTAGACAAACAAAGGGTCTGATCAAACATGATATATCACCAGTCCAGATGGATAGATTCAGGCAAATTTGCTCTTTCTGACATATACAAATTAACAGTATTTAAGTCAATAATGGCTATTGAACTTTAAGACAAACGGCAATATCTGCACCTGGAAAGGTATAAAATCAGATAGCCTGGAGCCATAAAACTCAGCCTTTCTTATTATCTTTCATCCTAAATCTTTGAAAGAAATAACTGGTTAGAACATATCAGAGAAAGGAAGCCATTCAGGAAAAGAAAGTGTTGTGATTCAAGGAACATCCCTCTACATTTTTCTTCTAACCAACTTTCCATGTATTTAAATTGAATAGTTGATGGATCTCTTCTGTCTTCTATTTACTGTCCCCAAACACACCACCAGTTAATGTAAATTTCCTTGGGAATTCCTCTTTCTTTAAACTTCTTTTGGTTTGTTTTTTTAATGGCTATCACCCAAGAAATTTATTTTTGTTCTTTTTCCTCCTCAAATGCAGAAATGTTCTCCTATTTGACTAAACATATATTGGGATGTTTGTGATCAGAAATGATCAGATCTTTCTTGTCAAAGGCCATTCTGCTAGTCAAAAACCATTCCCAATGATGGTGTTGTTTTGACTGCTGTGTGACCCTGCAGAACTTTCAGCTTGTTCCTGTTCCTTCACAGATTTAACAGACGTTCAACCCATCCAGCCCTTAATTTAACGAATAATCTGATTAATTAGACCTTTTCAATTGTTTGCCTCCCCTGAAAAGGTGAAGTTTTCAAGTCACTTAACTTCTAGAATTGAAAACAAGACAAAAAACCCTAGTTGGCAAATTAATTAATCAAGTGCTCAGCTGGAACAAAAGCCATCAGACACTGGGGGTCAGGAAGAGCTGTATTGGGAAGTGTCGATGTAGATAGAGGCTGTGTCCCTCCACCCCTGTCCCGATGCAGTCTCGGGTCACCGCCTGTCTTTTTCCTCCTCAGGCAACAAGCGGTTTGGATTTCTCCTCTGCAGCTGTGACCTCTGTGCACTCATCTTTTTCTTCACAGCTCAGTTTGCACATCAAATAAAAGACAGAATGAAAGACCTGTCAAAAAATCTTTAGCCGAGGTCAGTCTAACTGTGCCAAGATCATTTCAAATCATAATCATTTTGTCCCACTGCCAAAGCCTCCAGTATCCATCCTGTCCCAGTGGACAATGACCTATGGACTGTGAGAGTTAAGGGGGAAAGTGGCACAGAAGTGCAAGAAACAGTGAAGGATTTCAAATTTAAATAGAAATAAATGTATGAGAGCAATCATAAAAATCAGAGCTTTCAAAAATATTCTATAACAAATTTATGGGTGTGTAGGTTAATTCCACTAGGATAAGAACTATTGTAAATGGTAAGAGGTTGTTAATTGGTGTTTTTATTTAAAATGCAAAGCTCATACTGACAGAAAGCACAAATGAATTAGAACTGATACAGTATGCCACGTGATTTCCTTAAGAAAACATAAACTGTCATATAAAGAAATCTGATAACATTAAATGTAATTTTTTAAAATCGCAATAAACACAACAGGTGGTTTCCCAAGTCTGCTTTGTGAAATAAGGCTGTGTTTGCACTTAAGTGCACTTGACAAGTCAGAATTTGCGTTTTCATTGGTTTATGTTATGTTCACAAATTAAGTATTGATTCGATGAATAGATAAAGACTGAGGTTTATGTGAGCTCTGAAAATGCAGTGTATAAGTAAACTTTACCATTTTAAAAATCAGTACAGAAATACATAGGAATTATGAAAAAAACAGAATTTTCTGGCATTTAGGGTTTTTTATACTTAACCTAATATTCAACAAATAAAATGTTATCCCATCTTTGGACAGCTGCAGAACCGAAGACCATCTTTTCAATATAAAACTCCAACAGAGTATATATTGTTTAATTCTACACAACAGCAAAGAAAAAAAGTCTTGATGTGCATAGGAGCGAGCATTGAACAGGGGCTAATCTCTAAATAGGACACCAGCTGAGCTGCCATGAAGATGTGTGAAATTGTCCCCCCATGAATTTCCTGCACAGATTGTGTGATTCATTAATTTCCAGCTTGGTTCAAGGACGATTCTGACAGGCTTTAACCAAGCTATTAACTCAATCAAATAGAAAAGCATTTAATTGCTTTGAAAAACGTAAAGAAAGGCTAGTTACCATGTGAATAGTTTGCAGGTGCAGCATTTCATTTATTTTTGGTGAAACTAATGTTAAATGCCTCCTGTTACATTTTAATGAAAATTTTAAACTGATCATCTATGCATGTTTAGGTTACATTTTGTGAGTTGAACATATTTTTTCTGGTATGGACTCTAGAGCCTACATTAGGTAGTCAGTCAAAAGGAGTTTAAATATGTAGAAAAGTACAACAAGGGGAATTCAGGAATTATTTGATCAATTTGAAGAGTTTTGTCCTCGTCTTAAACTAAAATGTCTCTTTGGAGGACACAGTGTCACAGAATAATATATAAAACAATACATTTTCTTCACTTTTTTATATCACAAAATCTTGCTTGTGCATAACAGATGCACTTTGACGCACTTTGACTCTGTCAACTGGTATATTTGAATTAATATAGAAGAAAATTAACTAAGGCTCCATGAAGGTGACATTGCTAATAATCACCAATACTGAAGTAGATTCCCATCAATTTACCAACATTCACTTTTCTCTGTAATACTCGTAGTCACACACACACCTCATCATTAAGGTGTCAGAAGCCCAGACACTCCTAATGACTACCACAGTTATACATTTGTAGAAGCCATCGCACTACTGCATTTAGCGTTATCACTATGAAACCAAATTACTAACTGCACTATTAACTACTGGAAAGAGTTTGTGGTTTATACTTTATGAAGTGGACTGTGTGACTAAGTACATGTACAAAGTTCTCCTGGTATTAACATCAGTTTCCATTAGAGATACATATTCTTCAGCTTCCAGCATTCCATGGCTTGTCTGTGAAAAAAAGTAGTTCTGACCTTGGGTTAACAACTGCAGCAATTGGTTTCCATTTGGATGTCAAGACCTTTAAAGGATCACATAAATAATGTTGATAGGGGGTGGCAACTGTTACAGGCAGTACTAAATCATCAAAGCAATGCTTTGACACCATGCATTCCAAAAAATAAAGTTTACAACTTGCAACGCACAATGGTTCCGTTTGCAGAACTGCTGTATTGTAAACTACATGTGTGGCAACCAGTGTGCTATACAGCACTACATTCTGCACTACATATCTGTCTGGACTAGTGTTAATTTGACATGATAGGACACTTCGCATCTTCGCATAAGTGGCCATGGAACATTAGCAGAAGCCACCAGGAAAACTCATATTCCACTGTACGTATATAACGGGATGATCATCCACTTTAATAAAAGACCAGAAACAATCATTGTCCTTTGTCCTGTAATCCCAAAGTCAAACAAAAGACATTTTTAAATGAGACTAGTAGTATGGAAAACAAACCACAGAAACCAGATGTAAGTATGGAAGGATTAAAAGCTCTCGTTAAGAATCTAGGATTCCATAAAACAATGGAGATGCAAACCATACCCCACCCCACCCAAAGTCAGTTGTCGACTGAATGATTCCATCCGGCTTAGAAACTGACATTGACTCATTGCAAGCCTCAACAACATAGCCTGTCATAGTGTGCAGTGTGGAATGTCCAGGCTGGTAATCTTTGAGCACCTGGGACCTTCTCCCCAGAAGAACATTCTGAAGCCATTTCTGCCTGTATAAACCTCAAATAACATATTGGGTCTGTGGAAAATGGTGATCCAGTTCATACCACCTACGCCAGTCAAAGACGGAAAGGGTGTTTGAGCATCATTGACCTGAAATGCACTGAGCATGTGAAGGGTTTCCTAGAATTATCTCCACAGAGGAGATAGGAAACCCTCTTTCTCACACTTTTTGATATCGATACTGCGCCTGGAATGAGCTGAAATCTCACAGACCAGGACTGCTGATATAATCCATACAATCCATGTGTAGATGCACACAGCACTTAATATTTACATCTGGCCTGTATCTAGTGTGTATATTTATATCTAGTGTGAGGAATGGGGCCTTTTTTTATACCATCTAACAACTTCTTTCTCTATCCTTTCACTTCTTTCTTTGTATATGAGTACATTATATCTACAATAGCAAGCAACCTTAAATGAGACTATACTGTATATATGGCACAAAGATTTAATAATTTAACAACAATACCAAATTAAACTGTCCAACATTGAACCCTCATAACTAGCAATACCTGAATATCTGAGACTTTGCAGTCCTGACATATTCACTTTATCTGCCTTGATTTTCTGTCACCACCTCTCATTCCTTAATAATTTTTTTTGGAACATGTAGCACCCACTAGAATTATAGCTCTTAGTGTGCCAAGCAGAATGAAAACCACACTTCCATCATAGTTTATGTGGATAAACATCTTGTATTTACATTATTTTCAATAACAACATATGCATACAAACTAATCTAAACCTTCTTTTGTTTTTGTAGACAGACTTGTCATCAAAGGAAGATATACTGCTTGGTTCTGTCTGTTCACACATATAAATATGTTCATGAATTTAAAATGATTTAAATTGTTAAATTAATTGATTTTAATGGAACAGTGAGTTCAAAAGTTTACTTTTTTAATCTTTAAGGACAATGTAAAACAAAGCACAGCTTTTAGGTGAGTTAGTTTATTATGTAAATTTGGGCTGTTTTCCTGCTTGGAAATCTCGTTTGCAACAATAGATGCCAACTGATTCCAAATGTCAGTGGACTTTCTTCACCTCTTTTTTCTAGAAACTTATTCAAATAATCATAATTTTAAAGAATTTATGTGTTTGTCACAAACACAATTCTTAAGCCATATTCATATTGGAATAGACATTTGTTCTATATATAATAGTATAACATGCAAATTTTCCATACTTATGTATAGACTGAAAAACCGTTAAATCAAAGATTGCAAGCTAAATGCATATACACATATGCACCAGTCATGATCAAATTACATTACATTAAACACACACACATCCTAAATCATGTGGAAGCATGCAGCAGCTACATGAGTTTGCTTGAAGTAAAGCATGTCTCCTCACCGTGAGAGCTGAGAATTTCTGTGAGTATCCAGCATGCAGAACCAATAGAAGGAGTAACGGCTGAAACAGCATCCTGGTGGGACTCAAACTGCGTAGCTCTTCGGACCCCCTCGAGGTGCTCCCCACCACCCTGCTTTTCACAGGAATTAAACCCTGCAGTTGGGCAGCTGTCAAATTCTCACTGTTAGCAGAATGATTTTCTGGATCCCCTGGTGTAATAATTTGTTTGTCTGCTTCCTCCTAAGCCAGATAAAGTTCTTTTGTTGTTCTCTTCTCTTTTTTCCCCCTGTGTCTCTTCTTTTTGTGTCACATTGATGTTTCCCTCCTGCGTTGAGCTTTTTCACTGAGCTCTAGGCAGCCTTTCTGCTTCTTCAGCTTCTTCGTATTCTTCTTTCTCTTCTCCCTTCTATTTTTCAGTCAGAGCTCTTATCACGAATGCAGGATCTACCTCTCTGGTAGGTAGGTAAGTGTTGGATAAATCTTTCATCTGCTGGAAGCCAGCACAAACACGAGAAAAGTATTTGTTTCTTTTTTTTTTCTTTTGCTTTGTGTATGTGATCAGCCGCTACAGGTAATCCTTGTTTTGTTCTGTCGTATTTCTTTTTGTTGTTGTTGTTTAAAGAAAGGAAGAAAGCAAGCTTGTTCTCTAGCTGTACCTTTGTGTGAATGAGAAAGTGTGTTTGTGTGAGAGTGAAGTGCATTAATCTGTGCCTCACAGGGCTGACTGAACTATCTGACTTCTCTTTCTGTCCCTGCCTCAGTCTCTCACTCTCTCTGCTCTTTCATCCCACCAGCTGGCCACTAAAGAGTTTCTCCTCCCATGTCAACCCCTCCACATTTTTTTCACTCTTCAGCGATTACTAAATCAAAATAAAGGACAACAAATTACAGGAAAATAAAGGACAAGTTGCAACCTAGCTTGCTTTATGAAAGCAAAAGCTGGCAATTTTAGTTTCTTTTTATACTTTAAGAAGTTGAATGATATTGTATTTTCTTCCTTCTGTTATTTCAGTTTGTCCCTTTTTGGCAAATAAACTATCAGCACTTCTTGCAGAACATACTGAGCCTCTATTGCTGGTTCTCCTAGTTTATGTCAAATTTAAGATACAGCACATTGTGCATAAAATAATTAACTCAAGGGATATATCTTTGTTACTTTTAATCAGATGAGAAAAACATCCAGTAATGAGGTGTTGCAAGACGTTGAATAGAAAACTCTCTGAAATATATGGCAAAGGTAGAAAACAGGCACTCTGGCTACAAACCTTGTAATTTATAGTCTTGTTCCTCAGTTTACTGATCTGAGAAATTAAGTATGAGCTGACACCTCCTGTGTGAAAATAGAATGTTTACGTGCCCTAAAAAAACAAGTGCTGTCATCACAGGTTTATGTCCTTTGTTTCTTGTCTACATTTTATTAAATAAAATATTTCTGCATCTCAATTTAAAAGAACGTTTTATTAAACTGAGAGCAAAAATCCAAAAAACTAAAAGGTAAAGAAAATCATACTTCATGACAGTTTTTCCTCAAAAGCACTATTTAATGAAGACAAATACTACCCATGTTAATATGGTATTAGTCAGAGAAAAAAAAGTGGTTTTGTTAAAACTGTTTTTCTATAATAGTTCTATTTCTTTTTGTAATACTATAGTTATTCTGCTTGAGGAATGAAGATGGAAAGCTTGTATCTGATATTTTTTAAAGGAATCTCTTATTTAGAAAGATGGTTGCTACCCTGTTTGACCAGTGTTTCCTAAATTTCATTAAAATACATCAACATATAAAACCATTAAAAAGTATGAAAGGACAAAATACTTTTAACAGTGGACTTGCTAAGGTACAGGCTTTCACAGAACACAGACAAACATCAGCCTGGTTACAAATAATTCCTTATGCAACATACAAAACACATTTTAACGTTTTTGATTTCTAAGCATCAATGCAATGAGAAGTCTAGTGCACTGCCACCACACCAGTATGTATTGCTGATTAATTACATATAAAAAGCAGCACAGTGTAATTAACATGAGAGGTGAATTTGATTCAGTTTTACAATAAAAGTGATGTATTATAGCTTAGCCTATATTCTAATAAGCATTATTTTGTTCTGCAAATCTCTGAAAAAGACTAGTCTAATTATTTTTTGGGTAAAAGGCTTTTGAGTTAAAACTAAGTATTTACACCTTTAATATTACTACTAATCATATTTTAAAACTACTATTAATAATAATAATGCTGTTTCTCCTTTTGTTGTTAGTTTCCTCATCAATGTATTTCCCGATGTTCATTATATTTAGGCTACCTCTACTTTATCTGGTAGTATTTATTCGTATTTGAAACCTTTGTGGGAAAAAATAAAACGCATTCAAATTAAAATTAGAATGTAGTTGATTGTACACAATAAAAAGGGGTTGAAATTGAGATTCGTTTAACACTTTAAAACAGAAGAAATTCACACAGAAGAAAGACTTAAATCTACTTTTTTCAACTACATTCGGCTCTTCGATGACTTTTAACTGTGAGCGAACGGCACCCTCTATTGGCAGACTCTAATATTGCAGTTTCCATCCTAAGGGAACATTTGTTTAAGTCTCTTAATTAAAAATAATTATTACGCTTATGTAGCTCTTTTAATTCCAAAGGATCCCAAAGAGACTAGAAGCACAGTATTCACTTGGATGAGCAGCCCTGCCGCACAACAGATTGGGAAGGGAAATCAGCATTTGCTTTTCTAATTGAATTAGGAGGCCCTACTGGGCAAGCCCATGGTGGAGCTTAGCCTTGACAGTGGGGTTAACAACTCTATTACCTGTAGATTTGGAGGCACCCACCCCCAAAAAAAAACAAAAACACCACAAGCAATGACGCTCAATGCATTGGACCTTGGTTTGACATTTCATCCAAAGTATGACACCGGCTACAGCACTGTCATTAGACATTGCTTTTGAAACTGCGGCCCACTGGGAAGAGTGTCACCTGAAGCATCAAGCAGCAACTTGGATTTCCCTGGAGGTCTCCCATCTCAGTACTTACCAGGCACAGTCTTGCTGTTCATCCAGCTACTGATTTCCTATTTTAGAAGACTTGCAGCAGCCTTCAGGTTATTTTTCAAAGGGCTGGATTACACACCTTGTGGATTTTGTCACACCTGGATTTGGGGGTGGGAGTGTGGATTAGTAACGAGGGGCTCTGGACACCAAACCAGGAGGCCATGACTGCACTTCCTGGGTGGCACCCTGCTGTCGTCCCCTTGAGCAAAGTACTGTGCTTCTCTCAGTTTGCTCCAGTATGTGTCCTGCTGCATAGGTGGGTAAAAACCAGGTTGTCAGTGTGAACTAGAGTTTAAGGTATCTGGTGAAATAATTACAAATTATTTTGAATTAATTGATAGGAAAAAGATGTGCCTTGTTCATGTGGTAAATCCTGAAGAATAACATTAAGAATTATTATTATTAATATAATTTTGATAATAATATTGAATAGGCACAGAAACCATCACCCCAGTAGATTTCTTCAGTCTTAATGTAGAAACGTGAACCAGAAGAAACAAGTGGATCCTATGTAAAAGTGTGGAAGTGTATTTAAAAGTCAGCCAACATTTCTAAAGAAAGGGAAATATTTTATAACAAAAAGCCAACATGGGTACTTGCTGTACAAGATGACAATGCATAATGTAAACCTTGTAGTGGTTTTATTTAATAGAAAGATAATAGTGGGTGTTATCTTCCAAAGCTGAAAACATACCTCGATATTATGTGATTAAGGTAGAACTCCTAAAATCTGTAACATTAAAGAGCAAAGAGTTTTCACCACCGACGTACAGTAATGATGATGTTCCCATCACAGTAACATAACAATTCATTTGGGAGATTCCTATTGCTTAGAATTACACTGTGGTAATTGTAGCAAGACTAGCATATATCACCTTTCAGAAAGTATAACGGTAATACATTGGGATCATTGATATACAGTATGATTTACTGTTATACCAAACGATACTGTTTCTGATCAGATGTATATTTTATGCCCGATTAACTGTAAAATGTATCTGACGACTTTCCAAACATGTAGCCCTGTAAAGCAAGTTGCCTTTTCCAATACCATTAACATTTCACGCAAGAATGGAGCCTGTCCTTTATTTCGGATGTGACTAGGAATTCGAGGAGCTGAATCGCGGTATTTTCCATTGTGTAGCAATAAGTGGTACACTTCACACTTCCCCCACCTCTGTCGATGTTCCAATAGCTCTTAGGATTAGGCAGTTTCACGACAACGTAATTGTTTCGTTAGTATGCATAATTCATTTTTGTGTAGATTGTGTGTAACACTTTAGGTTTAAACTGATGAGTATAGCTGACATTCTTACATGCATTTACATTGTATTTTGCACAGATTGCCTATTTATTATTTTAAACCGTGCATTGCAACAACGTATGTGATTATGCCCGTGCAAGTACAGGCGTGGAAATACATTTGCATAAATAGCGGAACTCAGGACTTGACCAGGTAGCGCTAGCAGGCAGAAGCGGTTACATGCATTCTTTCGTTTTGAATACACAGCTGTGGCAACATAGTGCTTCTTGAGAAACTGCGTGGCTGTGTACACTCTTCATTTTGTGGATGCTTGACCTGGTTACGTTTTTTCCATAGCAGTTCACGCAGACGTCGAACTTGATTTGCAATATGGGCAATCGATGTAAATCGTGGTGCGGTGAAGACACCTTGATTATGTAGTAAAACTTGTCGACTTCATTGGTATCATTCTAAAAAGAGTATGGATTCCTGTCTGCATCCTCGCCGACTCCATCTCGCTACAGTATCTACAGTATAGTGTTCCTACTATTGGCAAATAAAACCACGACCTAATGCAGGGGAAAGTACACAATCAACAACACATATAGCAAGTACAAATAACAGCTAGTTGCTGACAAACATTTCCTCTTCTTTTAGAAATAGAGGGAATAGAGGAAGGTCAGCACCTGATTGTTTCCAGTGCTAGAAAACGGAGAATCGACTGTGCTTGTTATTCCAAAAACCATTCTTAAGACAAATTAAATTTCCCTAAGCATATGTCTCGTTTCCGACTTTGACAGTAACATTACTGTGAAATAACGGGAGAAAACAACATGTCCTTTGGATAAATCTTATGATATTTTGAATAGCTCATTGTGAGCCTCGGATCTGCATATGCCTGTTCACACCAGTGATGCAGAGAGAGAATTAGCGAACGTATTATTTTATTTCTTATGTATTGAAAATAAAATTAAAAGAAACATTAATAGAACTATTAGATGAACTCTTATGGACACAGGATTTTCGTAATACAAGACAAATGCAACTTTCATTTTATGTCTTTGTAAGTAAAATATGCATCAAGATTATAAAGCACATGTATTACACTGTACCACAGATTACTGGTTTAACAGCGAAACCTGTTTTTACACCTGCTGTCACAATACCGTATTTTTTAACATCGTAAAACGCAGAGGGCAGTCAATTGCATTCACTTATTCTTCGATCACAACCTCTCTACGAACAGCGCCCCCCATGATTGAGTCTGCACTGACTGGTAGTTTTAACACAAGCAAAAAGTACCACGGCCGGTTCCACCACAATCCCAGAATGCACAGCACGTCGGGTTTTACTCCGGAAGTGAAGGCCCTTTTTTCCTCTTTCCTGTGCACGTTATGTGTGTTGCATGGTTGTATTCTTTGCTGGAATCTATTACAGACTGAAAGGGGACCAATCCTAAAACCATGTCATACCAGAACGAGGACGTAGACGGAGATGTAAGTACTGTGAGTAACGCTATACTCGTTCTGGAAAAAGTCGAATAATGCACATGAAATAATCACTCTCCTAAATAGAGCTGCCGGCAGGCGGAGGCCCGCGGCATACAGTGGTCATCTTCAAATTGTTACATATAGTAACGTACATATAGACGAGGGTGTAATTGGAAGGAAATACATTAATTTATCGTTTTTATGATTCCGACGTATAGTCTACCCGTTTGACAAAATATAAAGAGTATTGTTTTAGGTGGTCAACTACCTCATACATTAGTTTATACCTCATCATGTGTATTCTTGTGCATCGGGTGTGAATAACTGTGTTGCTCCCTGTGAATATTGGGAAATATTGCATTTGACACTTGCGAAATCCAAATGTTTAAACGTTTTTAAGTAAAACGGGGGTGTTGACTGATGTTAGCCTATTTAACAGCTCTAAAATGGACTGTCTGCATTTTCCTTTTTAATTTATCAGCTGTTTTCTTTCTTTTGGCAGTATGATCCCTACTCTTACTCCAGTGACTACGACTTGCACACTGGTGAGTGTTTTAAGAGTAAAAAAACGTAAGCTCTCGGCTCATTCATCCCCAACCGGGTGATTCCATTCAATTAAAAATAGTTTATTCCTGCAGCCAGCAGCCATATCAGCCTGCAACTCACAACTGGCAACTCACTGAAGCTCAGTAGGTGTGAGCCTGGTCAGTACCTGGATGGGAGACCTCCTGGGAAACACTAAGGTTGCTTTCTTAGTGGGGCCAGCAGGGGACGCTCACCCACTCAATGTGAGTCTTAATGCCCCAGTATAGTGACGGGGGACACTATGCTGTAAAAAAAGGCGCTGTCCTTCAGATGAGGTCCTGACTCTCTGTGGTCATTAAAAATCCCAGGGCGTTCTCGAAAGGAGTGGGGGTGTAACCCCCAAACCCCAAAAGTTCCAATTGGCCCTTACCAGTCATGGCCTCCTAATAATCCCCATCTATGAATTGGCTTCATTACTCAGGTGATGTGTGGGGAGTGTACTGCCATCACCACATCAGGTGGATTGTGCACAGTGGTGGTGGAGGGGAGTCCCCATTACCTGTAAAGCGCTTTGAGTGGAGTTTCCAGAAAAGTGCTATAGAAGTGTAAGAATTATTATTATTATGATTCATATGTAAGATATATGCATGAACACATTTGCAAAGCTGACTACTGGTAATATTTGTACACTACATTTGCCTTTCTTATGTTGTCTCTCAGGTGACCCTAAAGCAGACCTGGCTTATGAGCGTCAGTATGAGCAACAGACCTACCATGTCATCCCAGAAGTGATTAAAAACTTCCTGCAGTACTTTCACAAAACGATCTCAGACCTCATTGATCAGAAGGTTTATGAGCTGCAAGCCAATCGAGTGTCCAGCGAGAGCATTGAGCAGAAGATATATGAGATTCAGGATGTATATGAGAACAGGTATCGCAAGGTTCTAGTACACATGCTCACTGAGAGTACACAAACCATTACCAGCAGAAACATGTTTTTGAATAGGAAAAGCAGAAATGTATATGTCTGCTTTAGCTCAGAAGCATCTGAGAACAAGTACAATAGAAAACAGATCTTTAAGTCCATCAAAGCTTACAGATTCCTCAGATGTCAATAATTATGTGGTTCTTAAAAGATCCCAGTTTATGACCTTAAGCACTATGTTTTGGCTTTAATTGGCTTTAATTGAATGTGCTCTTCGTAAATTTGTGGCTCCCCGTCTTCTGCTTGGTGATTCACCTGCTGTAAATGGTTTGTCTTTCAAGTTATTTTCTCCATGTAGCCTCTGTCTTTCCTAAATTGCACATTTCTTTTCCATTTTTTAATTAGACGTATTCTTATGAAAAGCCAGGTGTTACAGGTGTTTGTATTTGTGTCCTTTGTTTATGTGTACTGTTTCAAACAGAGGTGGCTTGCAGTTGTTAAATAAAGGTCTGTGTACCTATACCACTTCTCTCCCTCTTCTCTGTAGCTGGAATAAGCTGACTGAAAGATTTTTTAAGACCTCCCCATGGCCAGAAGCTGAGGCCATAGCCTCCCTTGTGGGAAATGGTAAGTTTTTATTTTAACAGCATTAGCCAAAAAAATCTTCTGCTTTTCATTTTTTGCATTTTGTTTTTCATATCAGAATAATAATTGATTAGCAATAGTGTCTGCTGAAGCTGTGTAAAAGATGTTTTAATTTTGAACATTAACCCTTACCCATATCAGAAAGAGTAATACTAAAGGTAATAAAACTATTAATTATTAAGTTTTGTTCTTCTTGATATGGTAAAAATGTTTTTAATAAGAATACTGATGTAAGTAAAATGTACATCAAGGAGATTGTGAGGCACACTATCAGTTTCTGTCAGGGTGTATTACACTGTAGCACAACTAACTGATTGGTAAGGCTATTTTAAAATAATGTATTTTTGAATCACAGAAGTGCTTAATCCTCACTCAGGAAAACAAGGTAAGAGTGCTGCTAAGAAATAAAATATTTATAAGCCATTTTACAATGTTAACCTCAAAATAGAACAATAGTTAGAAATACCACATTTATAGGACTGTTTTGTAATTTAGATTAGGACTCTTTTTGCTAGAATTCATGCATCTTCCTAAAAGCAATCAGTAAATGTATTTACTTTTGGGCCTTTTGTGTGAATCCCACAAGGTTAGTGGCTAAGCTGGTGTGGCATGTGCAGATAATTTTATGAGAAGATAATTCAGCATCTTAGGTTCCTTTAAACGCAGTATTTGTCATTTTAACCTGAATAATGTCCTTGTGTTTTATTTATACCTCATTGTAAAAGTAGTGTTTAGATTGTGTGACAGCATCTTTTTCATACTTAATAAAATTGTAGTTCTGTAGAATAAATTAGACTTCAGCAATCACTTCTAATTATTTCCAGAGTTGTGTTAAAATGGCTTTGTTTTCTCTCAGATGCAGTGTTCCTGATTCTCTATAAAGAACTGTACTACAGACACATCTATGCAAAAGTCAGCGTGAGTCATCCTGTCTTTCCTTTGTATATTGTAGAGAAAGATGAAATAAATTATAAATCTGAATATTTAGAAATAATTAAAAGTATCCTAAATGTCTTGCATAGTTTGCACAGTATATGCAGTTCTCTAATTTAGATTAACATTTCTGTGAACAAAATGGAAGTGCAGAAGGCATGCATTTTAGTCCTTTTAAATTTGATGTATAAATATAATGGAATAAAATAACCAAAGCTTTTATGAAATACATAGAGCTGGATTCAGGGTTAAAGAGCAGTGAATTTGAGTTTGAGACATTTTTATAAAGGTTTCTGCCAACATGTTGGCGATTTTAGTCAAAGGTCATTTGTATATGTTAAATGTTAAATCAACAGTGCTAAGCACTAATCAGAAATTGTTTTGCAGGGAGGACCAACACTGGACCAGAGGTTTGAGTCCTATTACAATTACTGCAATCTCTTCAACTACATTCTGAGTGAGTTTTTATATGGGAACTTTTGCAGCTATTTTCTTTAGGAGCTATACCAAATAGTAGTACCATTTTGGTCTTAGATTTGTCTTCTAAAGTTTTTATTATTTTTTTGTATTTACTTCAACTTACTACTGCTACAAGTCAGAAAAAAACAATATTTAATACTTTGTGCAGTGTATGTCACAATCTTATTAGAAATTATCTCAAAGAACCGTTTTTTTTTTTCCTAAAATGGCGATTTAAATAAAAGTTTTAATGAAAAAAAAATCTGGCTCAAACCTAAAGTGGTCAGATGAAGCTGATCAGATTTGAAATTCAGAAAATTGGACGTCTGAGATGCTGCTGTGAGGTGATGAGGCTTACGTGTCCTGCTTTCAAACAATTCTCCTGATATTTCTGCAATTGTTAGCATGTAGCTGTCAGTAGTGTAAACTACTCCTTTCCCTTGATACTGTGTGCACAGTCCTCTTACCTGACATGCCTCTCTGAATGCCAATCCCTCAGATGCAGATGGCCCTGCTCCACTGGAGCTCCCTAATCAGTGGCTGTGGGATATAATTGATGAGTTCATCTATCAGGTAATCCTGCAAGTTGGCTGCATTGGAAATTTCACAATGTTGTTTTTTTGCCTTTTGCTTAGTTTTTCCGCATTTGTTTTCATTTCAGTGATTGTTTGTTTGTCTCTGTGCTTCAGTTCCAGTCATTCAGCCAGTACCGCTGCAAGACCGCAAAGAAATCTGAGGAAGAGCTAGAGTTTTTGAGGAACAACCCCAAAATCTGGAATGTGCATAGTGTGCTGAATGTGCTGCACTCTCTGGTTGACAAGAGTAACATCAACAGACAGCTGGAGGTGTACACCAGTGGGGGTAAGTACACCTGAAAACGATGAAGGAGCCTATGCAGTCCAATAATTGTGACAATGAGGAGCAAACGGATGAACATCCATTATTATATGAAATGAGAGGAAACTTTTTTAAGGACATAATTGCTTATAGAGGGTTATTATCTAGGTGTTGATGTATATTAATGAATTACCGTCAATTTACCTTACCTCACCAAACTGTTTGCAATTGCATGGTGGCAGTCTCACAGGTCCAGGTTCCTGTTATATTCCAACTCTGGGTGTCTATTTGTGTAATTTGCGTGTTATCTTAAGCTCATGGGTTTTTTGGCAAATTCTTCTGTTTTCTCTTCTCTTCCAAAAATCAGCAAATTAGGTTTGATTGGTTACTCTAAATTATAGCTTTTGAGGGAGGTATTTGTTCCTCTGTATGATTTAGTAGACAAGCAGGTGTTTTTGTAGCTGTTCTGATTTTCAGAGAAATACCTCATACTTCTGTGACTCTGTTCTTAATTTGTCTGGTCAGTGGTCTGTCTTCATGATGAGTTTTAGTTTGCCTGTCAAACTATAGATACTTTGTTTTCTTTAGGTTTGGGAATATTTTTTGTTTTTGTGAGTACTTGAGCTGAGATGAGGCTACTGTACAGTTTTTATCTTTTTCTTTGATTTGAGATTTAATTAATGTTGACATTAAAAACATTAGAATGGTTATAAGTGAGAGGAGGCCATTCAGCCTCTCTAATAAATTATCCATTGGTCATTAATAGCCTGTTGACATAAGGATCTCATCCAGCTATTTTTTAAAGAAAGCAAGAGGATCAGAGTCCTTACTTACACAAGGATTGATTCAGTGGGCATCAGGTCCTTTTTAATAATTGTTCTTCCTTATACAATCAATATCAGGAATATAAGAAATGTTAGAAATAAGGCAATTCTGCCTGTCTAGCTTGGTTGGATTTTAGTAGGTGATTGATTCTAAGAAGTCATCCAGATGTTTCTTCAAGCCAGCCAGGGTACTGCTTTCAACAACATGGATGGCTAGCTTGTTCCAGGTTTCTCAACTATTTGTGTAAGGAAGTGCCTCCTGTTCAGCATTAAATGCATTTCCCAGTACACCTGTTCAGGAATAAAAAGATTATTCTTTTCATCTATCATTGTGGTACATTTCTTTAAATTAGAAATGTACTGGTTGCTCTTCTTTAGGCTGATTGTAGAGCAGCAGTGTTATTTGTGTTTGGGGTATGCCACTGTATCATAGCAAATCCCACATAATACAGTAAGCTGCAGAAGAGTGCAGTAGGGGAATATAGCAAACCTAACCCTTGTTTTTCTTTTTCAAAGTAGGTACCTTATTTGTCTTTGTATGTCTGAGTCTCTTAAGCCCCTGTTGGGATTAATCAGTGGTGTCTTTGTTTGTAGGAGACCCTGAGAGTGTTGCTGGGGAGTATGGCCGGCACTCACTGTATAAGATGCTAGGATATTTCAGTCTGGTGGGTCTCCTGAGGCTTCATTCTCTACTGGGGGATTATTACCAGGCTATCAAAGTGCTGGAAAACATTGAACTAAATAAAAAGGTATGTTGTGGACACAGAAACGCTTATAGACCAAATTATATATATATGCATGTATAGATTCACATTTTGGCCATTAAAATTGTTATAGTTATTAACTTTGAAGAATGGAGGGAGAGATCACTGTCAGTACTTGTGTCAAAAAGCATTTTTCAGTTGAATGCAGATTAATTTGCAGATAGTTTTCAATTTTAGGAATAGATCAGTATAACATTTGAATTATGAATGTGTTTCTGAAAGCTCTGGTTAAATTGAATTAGCATGCAGTTTCAAGGCACTGGGCATTTACATGTTAACTGTAAAACCACAGCTTCGGAGCCTGATGCTTCATACTGTTGCTGTACTTCGGAGGTCACAAATCAGATTTCTGAAGGACCTGTGGTTTATATATTTCTGTTTAGCACGTAATGCATAAATTACTAAAATGTGTATTTAAGATACAATAGTTCAAGTAGGTAGCTGCGTCAGCATGCGTAGGCTGCAAATGAACAGTTAGCGGGTTTATTCCATGCTGAATTAGTTTTCAGTGCTGCTTCCTTTTCTAAATATTATAGCATGCTTGGAAGGACTTCAGTGTGGTTATGCTGGAAGAGATGAGTTTCAGTTAATTTGAACCATATAGATCTTTTACACAGATGAATTTTGGATTGTAGAGTTTTTTGTCTGATTCACAAATTACAAAATTGCTGCAAAATGGATTAGGTTTGCCACATGAGGGAGGCCCCTCATAGGGAGCAGCAGGGTAGTCAAGGCCTGTTTATAACCAACTGGCACCAGTCTGTGTGACATCCATCACTGACATTTCATTCACGTTTATCCAGCCTCAGTGCTGCTCAGTGCTCCTTTTCAGGATTAATAAAGTTCTCAGATGTCTTTAAAGACATTTTCTCGGATTCCTGACATTAATGAAGGCTTTTTGTTCCCTGACTACTCTGCCAGTCTGTGTACTGCATGTGGGTACTGTTCAAGCCCTAATTCCACCAGAGCTGAGTACCTCAGTATACACTGCAGACTGGGATATAATAGATTTGCTGGGTTTGGAAGTGAAATCAACTAGCTTCAAACATAATATTCCTTTAATTTATTCAGTCTGCACTGATTCTTCTCATTCTTCTATCCTGTGCAAACAATCATGAGCAATTTACATCTCTCCAGACCTTCTTGAAAAAGTCTGTTTGTACTTAGTATGATAAACGTGTAATCATCCCATATTGAAAAACGTATGGAGCATATAATTACCTGAAACTGTTTTGTGTATTACTAAGTTGTGTACTTAACCAGTCTCTCAATTGTGTGGTGCAGAGCATGTACTCCCGTGTCCCAGAGTGTCAAATCACCACCTATTACTATGTGGGTTTTGCCTATCTGATGATGCGACGCTACCAGGACGCCATCAGAGTGTTTGCCAACATCCTGCTCTACATACAGAGGACTAGGAACATGTTCCAGAGATCAACATACAAATATGAGATGGTCAGTGTCTTAGGAGTGTGTGTGTGTGTGTTGACACCTGTTTGTATTATTGAGTCCACAGTGTCTTGAGTAAGCATTTCCAAATCACTTAATGCATTCCTTATGAAGGGTAGATTGGTCGGTGTATTATTATTGCTTCTCTCACTGTGGATTGTGTGCTCAGTTCATTAGATAGATGTATCTAGTTTTGAAAGCATATCACTGTAGAATTTCTGTTTTCTAGATTAATAAACAAAACGAACAGATGCACGGTCTTCTGGCCATTGCTCTCACGATGTATCCCATGAGGATTGATGAAAGTATTCACACCCAGCTGAGGGAGAAGTATGGGGACAAGATGCTACGCATGCAGAAAGGGTAAGTCTAAATAACTAGGTTTATTTGTCAGACTTCATCATACTTACAGATGCTTATCACATAGGTCGTTTAACACAATCAGAACTTGGCATCCACCAACTATTTGTGAATTTATGTTGCTTCTTAAGGTTTAAGGGGTTGACAGTACTTGGTATTGAAGCTCTTTAGTACCATTGCAGTAGTGCTGTATGTGCTCTTATTGTTATACTTCATTGGTCCTCAGTGATCTCCAGGTGTTCGAAGAGCTGTTCAGTTTTGCCTGTCCCAAGTTCCTCTCCCCTGTCGTTCCAAACTACGACACTGTGCATCCCAACTACCACAAAGAGCCCTTCCAGCAGCAGCTGAAAGTCTTTGCTGAGGAGGTACAGCAGCAGGCTCAGCTCTCCACCATTCGCAGGTATAGTTTGCATTTATTATGGTGTAATTTTTGTTCTCTTTGAGCTTAGTTGTCCACATGCTTGTGGACAGACTATTGTATGTGAAACCATGATTAACATTACCATTTTACAACATTTTCAAGTTGTTAAATGTACCATATTGCTGTTTATAGCCCAGCAGAGTAGCAGTTTTTCAACTATGCATTTTCATTGAGGTGTTGGTTTCCTTAGCTAAAATTATTTTTTTCATTTCAAGGGTTTCTGGCTGTCAGTTATGAAGGTGCCATTTGTCTTAGTGTAATATTTTCTCATACTTACTCAAAAGCTGTGTCCTGTGATTTAGTGAGGGTGTGCAATACTAAGTTTCAGTTAATAAGCATGATAAATGACAGACTATACCAGTAACCTTCAGATTAGTTTGACCTGTGTGCTGTTGCTCAAAATGTTAGAATTGTATTGTCACTGCTTGATATCATTACAATTTAACCTGTCTTTTCCCTAGTTTTCTAAAGCTGTATACTACTATGCCAGTGGCAAAACTGGCAGGATTTTTGGATATGTCGGAGCAAGAGTTTCGGATCCAGCTGCTGGTGTTCAAGCACAAGATGAAGAACCTGGTGTGGACCAGTGGGATCTCGGCTCTTGACGGGGAGTTTCAGTCTGCTTCCGAGGTCGACTTCTACATAGATAAGGTCTGTAGATGTGCAGGGATACCACTGTGTCCGAAGAATCTCTGGAAGCCCCAGTGGCTATTTATGATGACGTGTTAGTCTTTGAGGGATGTTAGTTTAAACTCTTAAGTGAATGGCATCCCATAGGTTCCACTCTTACTTATTAATTAAGTGGAAATGTTTTTATAGTCAGCAAAGCTGCTTTTGCCATTTTTGATTTTGGCCTGTTTACATTTTGTTGGTGATTTTGTTTTTTAGGATATGATTCACATTGCAGACACCAAAGTAGCTCGGCGGTATGGAGATTTCTTCATCAGACAAATTCACAAATTTGAAGAGGTAAGAAAAATCTTTTTTTACTTTTGACTTCAAAATTAAGAAAGCACAACCCTGGCTTAGTGACGCAATGCTGTCTCTTTTTAAACTAGGCTGTTAAATATTAAGTTATTTTTTGAATCCTTATTAGCATGTATTGATTTCCAAATTACCTGCAGTGCAAGATTCCAAACAGCTGTTATTTTACTTGCAGCTAAAATAAGACTGCCTGTTAGGTTTTAAACTATGCTAAGAACATGCCTCGTACTTCCCTGATATTTGTCCCATTTTTCCATATAGCTGAATCGCACTCTGAAGAAAATGTCAGTGGCTGCAACTCCCGGGAGCTCCAGCACCACCAACAACCCTGCCTCCCGTGCAACTTAAACTGGTCCTTGGAGCAGTGGAATATGAGACTGGTTCTGCTAATCGAAGAACAATGGAAGCCTCAGTCACACATTAAAAAAAAAATAAAGCTAAAAAAAGAGGATGGCATAGTTGAGTCTTTCTTCTTGGAGATCGCATTAAGGCATTGCTCATGCTATGAAGTGTTATGGTATGATTTTCCGGACCCGGCTCCCATTTTGTTAGATCAGTGGTGTAGGGTACAGCAGATCTGTGGCAATATTTCACAATACATAATACAAAAATGTTAAATTGGAGATGCGTGTAATGCTAAGATTAATTGTTTAGACTCTTTAAGTTTGCATTCTCTTATTTTGTACAGCTTTGTGCACAGTTGAGTAACTGAGTTTTTACTTTCTGTTATTTCAAGGTTACAGCTAAGTTGAATTGACAGCTCAGCAGTGACAGCTTAGACAGCAGTGGTGGTTGGTTGAATTCAATAAGTAAAAAGATGGTTAGCAAGGGGCTGAGTAGTTGTTCCATGTCCACAAGGAAGCTTGTGATAGGTTTTTGCAAATAAAATAGTGATAATTGATGAAATGATGAAGGTTGTTCTCTAAGTCATACTAGAATGAGAATTAGCCATTGACCACTAGTCACACAGAAGAAGATGCTGATCTGCAGCCAATCACCACAAAGTGGGGCAGGTGGGCTAATGTATACTTCTGCAGAATTCAGAACCTTGTCTCACCCAATTGCATTTTCTGTAGTTGACATGGAAACTAGTGTTTGCTGAAAAGTTTTGCTGAATCTGGCATCCAGATGTTGACTGCTTAACCCAATGAGTACATAGATTAGCTGAAAGCAGTGAGATAAGTGGCTAGAGGCACCCAATTTGGGTAAAGATTTGTCATTGTTGTAAAAACGTTAATTTTTAAGCAATGGATTTGTAGATAAAAATGTCGCCCTCTGCTGGTACCTAGACGCATGTTTTTTAATTGTATTGCAAAGCATGACATTTGGTGCAAGGCTATTCATATTCTTTAAAATCTTAAGCTTATCATATCCAGTTATCTGTAAGTCTGACTATTCAAAACTAGCCTCATTGCATTTCTTAGTCTTGCATCTGGGATGGAAATGTCGATATATCAAAAGTGAATTATAAATGCAGTTGGTCGCACAGAAATGAAACCGGTTGTGAAATAAAAATTAATTGGAGCTCAAAGTTTTTCTTATGCAACAAAACCTTGACCATAATTTTTTTCTGGAACTTTATATTCTAACTATGGTAAAAGTTTTTTTTTTCAGCAGTACAATAATCAATTTTTTTTAATTCATGATGGATGGATATTTACAATGATTACTCTTTCTACAACTTGGATTCAGGTAAGAATTTACTGTCAGTTTTCTTGATGGGTTAATCGTCAAAGTTATAAATTAACAACTAAGTTTAAAATGAGTCATGACAATTAAAATCTGACAAGTAATGTAAATTGAAACAAACTATAAATAGGGGTGAAAAGTGACTATACAATCAAAATTTGAACAGGAATTAATGTATACTTTTGGTATTTAGAGGACTCTTCCTATTAATCACTATCTGTAAAAGGCATAATGGCAAACAGACACGTAAGCATTGAGTTTTTATAGTTTAAAATCGTCAATATTTATTAGGAAAAATGCAGCAGAATTTACACAAGCCTTTATTCTTGGAATATCAAATTTTAATTGGATATTGTGTAAATACATCAACATGATTAGTACCTGTATAATATACATTCTGAATATTTTTTTTCCCCAAGTAATGCAGAGATGACACTTTCTGTGCCTCGGTAGGTTAAGTCAGATCGGATCGGATATCAGTATCAAAGACCTATACATAAAAAACGTTTTATAAAGAACTTAAATTGATGTTTGCAAACCTTTCACAGTTTTTAATCCTTTTAGTCTTAGCTCTGCAACAACTTGTAGTGCACCACACATCAATACAATACAATCTTAGAAAAATAATCCTGCTAATAGGTCACAAAGGGTTATTAACCACCAATTTAAAAAATAACTGCTGAAAATACTTTTTCAAATAAGTCCACAAGTATTGCATTTATGTTGCAATTAAGCCAGGAAAAATCTAAAACCTGACAGGAAATGAAGACTTCCACGTTAATGATGTCAATGAAGCAGAACAGTCGTCAGCACATCTTGCACACAAAGCAAGGTCATGTTAACAGGGGCCAGAGAGGTGGAAGTGTTTCAGCCCTGTCTGCCCGAAGGGGCGTGCACGCCATGACTTCCTTTCATTGAGCAAGATCGCAAGTGCAAAGCAAGAATGTATTCCAAGTGTTGACATAATTTCACATTTGTAAGATAGCAGGAAAAGCTAAAAATCATACCACAAATAATGTGCTACAAACGACATACATCTTGAGCTGTTAAAAGGATGTTAAGTGTGCCGACTAGCAAAGACGGGCAATCCTAGTTGTGCATTTTTGTCATTACTCCAGAAGTGGAACTGGGTAGCTAGCAGTTGAACAACCCACCTCACAGCTTTAGTAACAAACCGAAGTTGAAAAAGCAAACCGTACAAATGTAGTCATCTTTTAATACATGTACTTACAAGACTCCCATTCACTGTCCTGTGTTAAGACAGCACAGATTTCTAATGCATTTTTAAAGAAGAGTTCCCTGTAAATATTACAGGAAATCTGTAAAAACCATCATTTCTTTTGACTCCCATGATACATTGTAAAAACAAAATATTCTTCAAGGGCTAGGAGTTATAAATGAACTTGTTCAACTTCTCAGGAAGGAAGCAGTTATATAACATATCTAGGAGCTTCTCCACCAAAGTCATTAGGTACACTATGTGTCCAAGCGTCTTTTAAAAGTAATGCTAATTTCCATAATTTATAAAAAATAATTCAAATGATTTAGAATTACAAGCAAATAAGAAAAATATTTTATTAATACATTAAAGTTGGTAGGTTTAACTCCAGTGTCTGCTTTTTTGAGCCCATCAGATCAAATTCCTACAGAGCATAAGTGTACTAAAGTCCAAATCTATTAGTTTAACCAAGCCCATTTCCTCAGACGTTGCTTTTCCGAGCTAGAGAGCGCAAACACCCCTCTCCCAGCCTCTTTACTTGCCAAAGCTGAGAGTGTAGGATGTTTACACTGCCTTCATCTCGGAGCTCTTGTGAGAAAGTGTTCAGTATTTAGCAATAGAAACCCAGTTAAAGACAATGTAAGTACCTTATTCAAGCCTCCTCATAGGTTTTGAATCCACCTTTCCTCTTCAGGTGAGAAAGTCTTGACTGCCTAATTATTCATATTTCCTTAGTTCAGGCTAATAGTTTAAAGCATTCAAATCTCTTATGATGAGAATCAGCCCAAATCTATATCTAATACATTGAACCTATAGAAAGATATGTAATCTTTTTCTGTCAGTATGGTTGTTTAAAAGTCCCATCGAAAGGTCCAGAGGAAAAAAGGACTTGTATATACAATGATTAGTCAAGTATTCTAAACTAATACTGGCTTTGTAGAAAAGCTGTTTTCTGAGGCCCAGGCAGGAAGCTTTGATGTGTTCTGGCTCTCCCAGACTCGCGGCTGGACTCGCGGAGAGTTAACTCCACCAAGTGCATTTCCTCCACATTCCCCAGTTTTATTCTAGGATAAAACAGCTTTCCTCTTAGCTTTCTGGCAACAAGCTGCACAAGGTGCTTTTCTTGGGGAACGATCAGTCAACCTTGTTAAGCGCTCGAGCCATTCTCCTTAAGGAATTGTACGTTCTGAGTGGCGGATAACCGAGAAGGACAGTTTGTGATTTTTGGTTTTGGAGAAGTCACAGAAGAAAAGGTCAAAGCCATTTCAAGGATCTAAACATTCCTGTAGTAGCAGAACAGCTACTACAGGCCACTGCTCATATTCTATACAGTGATTCCCTGTAGATTGCTTTTAAAGTGTTTCTAGGAAGACAGAACCTTTCAAATAAATTGTAACAAACTACAGTGCTTATGTGTATCACTGTGCTTTAAAATAAACATGAGAGAAGCAAACTGCCCTCTGAGACATTTGCTCCCACTGATGAACGTCATTGTTACAATCTGGCAAGAACCCAAACTAACTCCCTCCTTCTTTCTTGTGCAGAGGATGTGGCAAACCTTATGAATGCGAATGATTTTGATTGAAAGCTTTTCATATTCATTGGCCCAATTTTCTCTGTTGAAAGGGAGTCTCCTGATTAATCCCATGAGCAAACAGAGACATGGAATTGGTCCACACGCTCTGTTTATAGAGAGCCCAGGGTCAAGACAGGCTGGGAAGAGGTGTCTCTCGATGCATAATATGTGGGAGAAGATTTTAAGAAAAGCACCAGAGGCTGCTCCACTAATTGAACTACTTTTCAGAAGATACTCCCTTTCATGATACACCAGAGAAACAAAAAACAAATCTACTGGCGCAGGGGGAGGAGTCAGGGCAGCCCTTATTATTAAAAGAACTGTGTGATGAGTTCAGGGACAAGAAACAAGGAAAATGGTTTGGATTCCATTATATGCAGCAGTGGTAGACATTAAAGGATCAATGAAAAAAATAAACAGCTCAGTTTTACATTTCCTGAGGTAGAGCAAAAACCCCAGTGTAACGTCATCAGATCGAAAAATAGGTTAACAACCAGCTTGTGGACTAATGATTTTTTAGATTGCAAAACACGCTATTATTACAAAAGGTCTTATCATATCAGTGTGACAAAGAAATAAGCGATTCCACAATCTATGGAAAACTAAAAAAAAAACAATAACATATCTGATAGCACCTCCTTGAGTTTATCTTTGTATGCATTTATGTTTAAGGTTATTCACAAAGGAATTTAAGGAAAATGTATATATTTATTAAGTTTAGGCCAGAGGGGTTTCAGAATATCTTATACATAAATAGGTAAAAAGAAAAACATTTGATCAGAGCCGACGACATTGTTTAAGGTCCTTCATTATTTTTGACACAATAATTTTCTCAATTGCTATTGGATTTGTGGCAAACTGAATTGGGAGACTCTAACCCCCAGAAAACAGCAGTAATAAAGTAAAAGGCAAAAGAATATTCCCTTAAGAGAGACAATTTTGAGTCAAAGAATATGAATGGAAGATTCAAGGATGAGGATGAATAGATAGCTATGATCAACCAAGGAGAAATTTTATTGAACTCGCGGCAGGGATATAATTAGAATACTTATGGCACTGTCCTCTCTCAGAATAATGGATTGATAAGAAATATGGTTGCGGTATCTGAAAGTATGCTGTCCAGGGTGCTGAATTCAATGATCAATTTATTAGAAAGATCAGCCTTGGTCATGGAGAGCCTTCAGGCCTTCTGTTTTCGGTTATAATTGCTTTTAATCAGAATCCAAATATCACAGTTTTTATGCATTTTTAATATTCTGTAATATAAGCTAAAGAGTTTTGACTCTTTTTTTCGTACTCTTACTCTTTTTTTCAACCTTGTGGATCATCATGAATGCAACTAAAGACTCTTGTCAGACTGTATTGCTGATTAGAAGGATTGAACCATTATTAAGATCCAAAGTAATACTGGGAGCATACAAAAGAATCCCCCTATAGTACATTTTCTTTAAACGTTTCTGTGAGACAACCCTTTTTACACTACATATTCAATCTAAACCCTGAATGGAGTCAACAAAAACATCTACAGCATTCACTGTGCTCTATTTTATATGTTTTAGGGTAAGATACTTAGACATCATAGGAAAAATAGAACACTGAAAGACCTGTTGCAATTGAAGTTGTCATCCTGAGTTTAAGAAAAGCCGAAGTTATGGCTTCTTGAACGTGTGAGCAGCACTAATCTGGTAGTTATGGTTCTGCATTTGCTTGAAAGGAATGTTTCTCTTATGGTCACTAGAACTAATCTGAAAGAAATGCCATGCCAAGTGTCACAGGGTTGACATTTCACTGCTAAAATCAGCACTTGTTAAGATCCCCCTTTTTTAAGCTCCCACCCCAGGAGTTTAACATTTTTCCACAACAGAGGCCAACCAGAAAGAGCTGCAACTTACAAAGCAACCATTTTAATTACCTATTGGCTCTGGTGTTTTGTTTTACAATGTTTTTTATTACTAAAATATATCCATTCGTTGAATTCAAGGTGTAATTCAATGTGCCACATTGGCTTTAACTTCTAAATGTTACTTCTTATAAACCAGTTTTTGCATGCATTTTCAAATTTCTTGCATTGATTCAAGGACAGTGAAATCAACAGTACGACTACAATGCTAGTTGCAAATGAAGGTATTTAGGAAACCTAATTGCAGTCAACTATATGAATTAGGAGAAGCACCCAATTAAAATTAACAACAATCATCATAATGGTTTTTAATCAATTGTTTTCTTGTCATTGTACCAATAAGAAAACATGCCATAGTAAAGAATAATTCTCATCAATTATAGTTAGCAGCAAGTATTTTATTCAGCTATTTTCACTATATTCACTGTGACATTCAGAATTAAATACTTTTGAATTATTTAAAAATCTTTGTTATATTGAGAATTGTATCAATGGGGCTTTTGTCCAAGCAATGACAATGTTTTTTTTCTGTTTTGTTCAGTGTTTTTTTTTTTGCATTTTTTTTGTTGGAAATGATCAACTTCTTTGGGAAGGCAAGATGGGAGCATCACATTTCAGAGAGTTATTAACAAAAATGAAAGAGGGATTTGAAGGTAATAGCAGTTGGCAGCTGCAAACATCCGACTGAAAGCCCCATCTTCTGCACCAGCTTCCAGTCAAGGATGTTTACAGTTGCCAGTACTGCCATCTATCTTTGTCAACCCCAAACCATGAGAAGCTCCCACGAAGAGTCTCTCACACTGTCAAGGCTGGATTTTAGCAAATTAAATGATGACATCAATGCCACTTTACAAACAAAATACACTGAAATGCAAGATAACATGGTTTTTAAAGAGTCTCATACCAACTTTCTTAAATCACACAGATCACAAACCTGTCGAACACAGAATCAGTCGATCAAATGGTAATATGACTGTTTTCTGTAATCTGACCACTGCTATTCCGCAACCCGGCTCTTGTTTATGTTTGCCCTTCAAGTGTGTCCAAACAGGCACATCCCTGTTTACCCTAAAACTGCAGAGTCTGAGAGATTGTCCTGCAGGTGCTGAAGTGGCACTTTTTTTTGTAGTGTTCAAACTGCATGACTCAGCCACAAGGAACAGAAATTATTTTTCTGGTTGCATAACCTTTGATGGTTCAAAATGTCATTGTTTTGAAACTAAAGGCCTGATTTTAAATGGAAATATGATCTTGCATTTACTCTTGCAAGAAGTGAGAAAATTTGTTTGGATTTGTTTGACCTCAACACCCCCCATCCCCACTGCTCCCACATAACCACGTCCCCAGGCCAGCGATCCAGCCCCTCTGCCTGACTGCAGCTCCACAGCCCCTATCTTGCCTCAGGCTATTTCTTGTACTAAGTATGACACCCTCAACTCCCTCTTCCACTCCCCGGTCTCCCTCTCTAGTGCGTGAACATTATCCTTGGCCTCTCTTCTCAACAACACAACCCTACACACCCCCAGAACTATAGCTCGGTCACCATCACACTAAAAACTACAGACCCCCCTCTTTCATGTGCTTTCAATCTCTGAATTCTGCCTACCTTGTAGGTAGGTCTTGTGCTCCACCTCCCAGAAAATTTGCTCAAACTGGACAACATACTGTATTGGCTCTCACTGTCTGCTTTGCAACTGCTTTCCCAATTGACACAGGCAGTTTCAGTTCAGGGCACAGCCTGCCTTCAGCAATGACACCATTGCTTCTACTGTGTAGACGTACAAACGTACTAGGAACCAAGCTCCTCTTGCTGGCTGGCCTTCTCCCTTCCTATCCCTGTGCCCCTATTCCACATCCAAAGACTCCTGTCACTCCATCAACTTCACAGGAGGGGCTTCAACCCTCTAACATTTTAACAACAACAGCTCTGTCAGATGCAGAAACTCCTCATCATCTTCTACACAAATGTAGCTATCATTGCCATCTTGCATATCATGACTTAATAGCACCTCTCTGGGGAGGAGTGTTAAAAGAATAAGGTTTTCAGAGTTACTGTGACAATTAAGTAAAGCTGCAGATGAAAGGAGGCTGTTCAGACTGTCTTTTTTTTGGTCTTGTGGTTTAATATATCAAGAACATTGATTGGATCATCAATGTGGCAGTCTGTTGCACACAATGGCTAGCAATTTTGTCCCCATAACTCTAAACACTACTGAGCACTTTGCTTTTCAGTCAAGAATCATGTATCTTACCTCGACCACAATAATATAAAGAGAACAAACGCAGGAGTAACACTACTCCAGTATTCATGAGGCAGTGGAAATGGTTTTTGTTTATTTCTACTGAGGGAAAGGGGGCAGAGGTGCTCTCAACAATTCCTTATTTAATACTGACAGACCTCTCCATCAATCCTAAAACTGTTAATTATTTAGAATTCAGAAAAGTGCAGTTAAGAGCTAGGTTTGTTTTAGAAACAGGTTCAGTTCTCAAACAAATGAGCTCATTGGTATTTCTGTAGTTTGGAAAACTTTCTGAGCACAAGCATAGCTACCCTCTTACCTGAATGCATTTTGTGGTTTTTAGAATCATAATTTTACAGTGCCTTGGGGCTTTAAAAGTTATTAATCATCAGCATTTTTCAACTATAGCTCCTTAATTTAGGAAGGTGCACTAACTCTAGCTTTGAAAATGTAATAAAACCCCTGGGTATTAAGCAGGTTGAGGCAGTATGCCACTATACTTCATAAAAATTCTGGCTCTCTTCTATTAAAATCCCAGGGTCCCATATTTTCTTCAGTGGGTCAAGTCACTGAGGGAACAAAGCAAACTTTATCAGAACACTGCAATTCTGCATTCCGGGAATTCTTAACACTTGGCAACCATATAGCACAGTAAAGCAACAGGGGGAGGGGTGTTCGTCATAATCAGAGGTGCAAGTCACTTATTGAAGGCCATGAGAGTAGTACTATGACAGTATCAACTGTGATTATATGGATCAATTAGGAAGCCAAGGAAATTATTTATATGATATGCCCTCGATAAGTTAACCCGATATTACATGGACATGTAATACAACTCTGTTGTTAAACATTTATGCATGATGTATCACATTTTTCATTTTTCATGAAAGAGTGCTCTTTATTTTAATGAAAAGCCGATAATGTATATCTATAGACAAAAGAACAATTAGCTTTAGGTTTTAATTAAAAATGGTATCCAATTTAAGGAAAAAATTGGGAGACCATGATTAGGGTGTGGATAAAGAGTAGGGAAGATTACAAAGTGCATGCAATTTCAAACATGTTATTGTTTCAAATCCATATATACCTTTCCCAATGAAGTTAAAGAGAATCAGATTTTCCAAACAGCATGTGTGAGTCATTGAAAGGTCATGGTCCTAAAAAGCAAAACAGAAAAACGTTTTAACATTTTTATTAATTTTTCTCTTTACACTTTATTTTTGTGAAATGTTGTAAAATGCACAGGTTTTAAATATAATATGCTAGCCAAACACTAGAACTCATCTACAGATAATAGTTGACCTAACATAGGTTTTTAATCCGTAGTTTTTCTCAAGACTTCACAATACAAGGGCTTTCAGCAAAATCTAAAGTGATAAAAAGAGATCTTCAAACAAACAAAAAATTAATGGAACACAGGCTCCGGAAGATCAGTTCAATTGGACATGGAAAGGGAGACATCAAAAGAAAAATAAAAGCATTGCTACCGCAGATGACCAATAGGTGTCTCTGGTAGACGAGGTCTTAGTTAATAAAGCACTGGAAGTCTTAAATAGGCAGTTAAACCTATTATTACAATTCAGTCTAATTGGTAAGACATTGCAACTGTGACATACTACTAGTTTATGGTTATATAGCAGTGCTATGGTAGGTGATCTCTGACTAGTTAAATACAAGATTGTAGAATTGCAGAGGCTTTCCTGTTTATTAAAGCCTAAAGTACAGTTTGTGTCAGATCATCTTTTGTGCTGGCTCTGTGATATTCTAAGTTGCTTCTTAAAGGTGAGGAGAAAACTTTTACTGGCAATATAGTATTCCTTGAAGTAGGATAAAAGAAATGTTGATTTCTGTTTTGTACAATGAGAAGATGGGGGGGGACACCAGGATTACAAGAAAATCAAAGTGGTAGAAAATGTTGTTCTTTCTAAAAAGTTCATGTGTGTATGTAGTTTCCAGGCTCAGGTAATGTGGTGTAGGAACTTTCACAAGGCCTACAGCAGACAAAGGATGGTGTTTTTGTTTCTCCTGGATTTAAAGGTCAGTTTTGTATTTTATCTGCCTTCCTTTTGTATATTTGACCATGAGAATTGTTTTATAGGTACTGTTTTTGAGGCCATATTCCTTGCTCACAATTCCAAATGGACATTACATGTGCAGGCTATGCCTTATTAAAAGTATGACTTTAAAACATTTAATTAGTAACGTAGTGCTAAATTAGTTAATGCCAAGGAAACCGTTCATCGCCACCATTGAATATTCAAAGTCTTTTCAGGTGACTTTAGTGGACACTTGCTTCTGTGTATTTTGTATCTCTCCATCCACTCTGTTTTGTTGTCTTGAGGTTCACAGTGTGTCTGGGGGATACCTAAAGGGGAAAACCCATGGCAAATCTCTTCCATCGACGTCTTAAGACATTCTGCAGTACTTATTTTTTGCACTGAATTATGATTTTTTTCACTATTCAAAGGATTTAAATCATTAAATGGCACCTTTCAGCATAAAACTGAAACTATTACAAACATATGCCTTTTTATAAATGCTTTAAGTTGCTTGTGTAGCATTTTCATACTAAATATTAAAATGCCTGAATCCTTATATATTGTTTCTTATATGGCCCTACCTTATAAAATGACAATGCAAGCCCTCTGTACACCTGTAGTCATGGTCAGTGAAAAGTGATACGCTAGCAAGATCCCCCCCCCCAAGAAATTCTTGTTCTTGTTAAAAGTGCCAAAATCCCCCAACCCAGAAAAAAAAATAACAATCCCCAGATTGTCTGAATGTAGACCCCTTGGAAACGGATCTCTCCAAGTCTGGAAATAATGCAAGGAAATATAAAATCAGAATTAACCACAGGAGTCTTTGATGACAGAATGCCATAGGATATGGAATTCTATTTTTTTTTTTGCCAGCTGATTGAATCACAAGTATTTTGCTACAAGGAATTAACAACTTTAAGGCTTCCTGTCCTAAACAGACAGTCCAATGGTCAGTTTTGTAAATGTACTAATGACAAACCATCCAGAGGGGAGCAACCAGATACACTCACAGGCTTAAAGGAATGTCCTACACTGACAGGCTAAATGAAGTGAATGTTTTTAGTCATTAACAGAAGAGACAACCAGGTATTCCAAATCCTCAAAGGCACTGACAAAGTTAACTTGATAGACTCTGTTAGAGTCAACAGTGAAATGTAAATCAGAGGAGGCAAATAGGGAACTAAAATTAAGTGTATTTGAATTGAGAACAGGTGGTACTACACAATGGGTTGTGGGAGTCTTGAACAAGCTACACATCCATGCTGCTGCAGCTGAAACTCTGACATCTTTCAAGGAACAGCTGTATGGGATCCTGGTAACATTTATTTACTAGTAACCAAATGAGTCAGATAGTTTACAAACGAAAGGAGTCAATTCAACCCTTCTTATGTTCTACTGTATAATTCTGTCTGGCATTATCTGTTTGTTTATTATACAGCATAAATAGAAGTTATTAACTGGCGTTCAGGTGGGATAACAACGATAAGTCAATCTCGCACAACTGCACCTAATCACCATCACCATTAAACTAGCTACATAAACTGCACTCAGACGCCTCCCTTCACATTCCTCTCAATCGTCCCTCCTCCGCCCCATTTCCACCTTGCTCTACCCCTGGGTTCACTCAGTCTGAAGGGGGATCGAACTTCCTTGTCCTACAGCCAGAAGGCTACCCATTAACCAAGCAGGCTAAGCCAAACTTTTCTCGCCAACTATTCCAAGCATTCACAGGCATTCAATCCTTGGATGTTGCTGTCCCTAGTGAAACTAGTAGAGCAGTGTGGAACTATCTTCTCACATGTTGTTTAAGTTTATATTTGCAATTATGCCATTAGTGCTTCACTGCCATCAAAATTAGTTACTGAGTAGCTTGTAACCTTCAGAACTCAAGTTTGTCCTTTCCAATTGCAATTTATTTTGGAAAAGCATAGCTATGTTTAGTCATATGTGTTTCCATTCTTTATCTGATTGGACACACCCCATACTGTAAATGGTGGAAGGAAAGCATTTCCATCGAGTCTTTTTTTTTAAGCAAAACAGAGCCCCATGGCAGTTATTCGATGAGACAAAAACCTTTTGACCTTGCATAAGAGAGAGAGTTTTGACCACTTAGGTAGTAATTAAACAACAAATGATATTCTGAGCACGATTTAAAACAAAGCCACCACACCAGTCATCCGTAACCTTAGTACACTTATTAACAAGGCTGGCTCTCAAAGGTCAACCAAATGTCAAAGCATTTTCCAAAGTCTCCTGCCTACAAAATATTCAACTTGTTTGAATGGTGCGTGGGAAAACAAAATTCAAATATTTTGCAGTGATAATTTAACGTCAAGGGATTTCATAATAGCAAATGTAAGAGGAAGAGTGTTTTTTTAATGTATAGATTTTAGAAGTACACATATTACTGGTATACTTGATTATCACTTTTAATTGATGTGATGAGTGGGGAGCTGTCAGCCAAACGTGATTTAATTGATGCCTAATTAGTTTGCATATTAGACGTTTCAGGAAGTCCAATAGACCAAGTAAAACAACAAAATACAGGTTGAAATTGTAGTCATTTCGAATGTGGACAATCCAAGTATTGTGATTTCATAAAATAATGACCTAACATACCTATAGTTAAAGCTAATAATCACAATCAAGAAAGTCAAATGTCCTATGCAAAAAAAGAGGAAGCCATTTGACTCAGCTTGATTGGTTGCTAGTAGCTATTCTATTCTAGAATCTTTTTTTTTCTTTAAAGAAGCCAGGGCATCACCCTAAGAACATAGTCAATTAGTCTGTAACAGACACACATAACAATTTGTGTAAAAATGTTTTCCGTTTTAAATGCCCTTCCTTGTAGTTTACACTTGTCACCTGGGTTGTGTTTTATCGTTGATTCAGGAGTTCACGGTGTTGACTGTGTTTGGGAACCATAATCTTGGACAAGATCCAGGTAGGCCACATGCCCAGAGATGCCTTTGATATAAATTAAAATGTATCCTTTTTCAGAAGCTTTAATTCCTTTTCAGTTAACAAACACGTACAATATATTCACCTGTATCTTTCCTAATGAATTAAATTAAGAGGTTATGATGAAAATCTATATTAGCGAAATTTATAAGCAAACCGTTTAAATAGGGGTTAAGAATAAATAAGTCAGAACTCATAATTTCCAAGTCCCGTTAGCAAAGCAGAGTATTTACTCAAGTTACGCAGTACATCTCGGAAAGATGCGTAACAGTTTTAATCAGGGGAATAAAGTGTGGGCATTATGATTTTATAAATAACAATCAGCATCTCAGACGTACATTAAAACAATCGATTACTTGTAAGTGTAAAGTGTTCAAATACGATACGTTTTTCTATGAAGGTTCTTTGCTTTAAAATCTAGCTGAGCGAGGTTCATCAAAACATGATGTAATGATCTGTATTACAGCAACTAAAGACCTATGAAATGAGTTATCTTGTCTTCAATGTTTAAAGTTTTGAAACCTTTCCGTTTAATGTCCTATCGTCTGGTTTTCCAAGCTAACTCAAAGGTGCTCTGTAATCCTAAAATCGTATGAGCAGTTGTTAATTATTTCGGAAATAAAAATTTGCATTCTTCAAAGCATTCCCAGACTCTTAATTAGAGACAAGTTTTCAGCATTCGTCTTACGCGGTCAAGAACTGTTAATGTCACAATCAACTACTATTAGGCAGTTTTGCGGACCGAGTAGTCTGAGCGGTCAAATTCTATTTCCATTAACTGCACACTAAACAAATAGAACCTGTTAGGGATTTCACTGATATCTTTGAAGAGAAGTTATGCAACGACACTGAAGTCACTGCGGCAACTACTTTCACACAGAGTTCAGGTTTTCTTTAAAATGATACTCACCAGTACTGTTCGCTGGAAGACAAGTGAAGGGTAAATTCTTTGACCCCTGCCGTCTTGCTAGGTTCTGAACTTTTCCATTACCCCCTTTAAAGCTGGAGGAACTTCTGTTATAAGCTTTTTAAAAAAAAAACATTCGCGTTTCGTTTTTCTGATGTGCGCGTATGTAATATTAATCTGAGGTGGCATTTAACCGCTGCCCACTAACTCTCGCCATGTTCTTTGTCTTTTTCACTCTTGACCATTTCCCTATGTCTGACAGCTGGGGGCTCTATCTTGCTGCTCTCCCTGGAAATCATTCGTTTCACTGCGGAGATTTGCAATGCAAAAATAAAACGGCGTAAAAACGGTTAAGCACTGGGGGGAAAAAAGTGTTACCTGTAAGAAAATGAAAAAGCTATTTGATCTGAAAACAAAGCGAACTCTTAGCTGTTTAATTCCAGCTGTGTGTACTCTTCTTAATCGCTGTTTGTTGTGACCCACACTGGCCGCACCGCACGTCTTGACTTTTTCTATGAAGGCTCTTTGAAATGGGCCAGCCCCTTTTTCTGGCACTGGTACACAAAACTGACCAATAGCCAGCAGCACAACTCGCGATCAATGGGAAGAGCGGTCCACACATACAGAAAGAAATGCAAAGGCACACTGACCTCCTGCCACAAATTACCGTAACATAAGCGCCCAATCAGCCTCGGAGGCTTTGCAAACATGGCTAAAGAACCAATCCTGGTATAAATGATCATAACCATAGCTAGTCAATTGGTTTTCCATAGATGTTTTCTTTTTCCACTTAATTAGACAACCAACAACCTGCATCGCCTTTTTTATGACCTAGCATTCTCTCACGCAAAATCCCATCGACAGTGGTCCTAAATGATTACTTAAATGGGAAATCGAAATTCTTTCCGTTTGGAAATATTTTCCCGACAATACCTGAAAGTGGACAGATGGTTCTGTAAAAAAAAGTCAGCTGTTGGTTTAACAAAATTGGTGGATATAAATAATCGTCCGTATGTTTGCAAGAATAAACAGTTTCTTTATACAGCTTTAAGCAATTTGAACATGAAAGACTTTGAGGTTTGTGAAGAGCTAATTTATACCCCTTTGATACAAAGATGTAGGTTTCCGTCTGTTTTAATACAGAAGGAATCATCCAGTGAATGTTCTAATTTAGGTGCGGAGAAAACTTGAAATGCAAATCGTTAGTAATCTCTACTGAATATTTTCACTCAATGCTAACTTTCTCCGGTCAGGTCTGTCTCCCCTTTTACAGCTCTGAAACAAAGGTGTTGACTTTGGGTACTGCAACTACAGTAATATCTGTTTCAAACGACAATTTATTCCGCGAACATTGTGATTGTGTGAGTGACTAAGACGTCATACTGTACATACAACTCAATTTATTTAACTACACGGTGTCGGAGAGCCATGCTTGCCAGAGAACACGAACACCATTCTTCATAAAATCTGTTGAACGTTCACGAATCGGAACCGAGCAGCGGAGCGCTGGAATCTTGCGAGTTGGATAGGACCGTAAGATATTACAACGTAGAGTACCCTGCACCGTATAGAAAACGAAATGATTCTATATTCCAAATAAGCACATTGTTCAGCTGAAATGATTTTCTAGGATGGAGAGGGGTTACATATCATTTATTGATAAACATCACTGTGAACTGTAGCAGTTGGAGCTGTAGGAGGATCTGAAAGCTCTCACATAGTTCACATAGCGCCCTTGATCTTTTTCGCAGTCGCTTCCATAGGATGTCCATTGCGTTCGTTGTTTCCATCTAGTCTGCATTCTGCTGCTGTGTGCAGTTTGCGTTGGTTTAATGCCTGCAAATTCGCACCTTTTAAATCGTACTGCCATGGGAAGATACTGTAGATCTTTGATAGTATCTGTTTTGCTTTTCAAAATAGCCCCCATGAAGCCTGGGAAGGACTACTATGACTACATTGTTAAATATAAATATTTATGACGATTAGCCCCACTTGAGGTAAAAACCTCATCCTGCCATTTAGAAAAAAGTAAATAACTGAAAAGGCAGTCGGAGTGCAACAGTGAAGATCAGTGTGGAGAGGAATCCGTTTAGTGTTGTTTTAGATTAAACAGAATGGAAATGCCTCTTCAGTTCTTTTACCCTCAAACAATTTTGCACAAGTATTAAAGCCTTATTTCAAAACATTACAAAACTAGTAAAATGTTCTAACTTCAGTCTTGTTATTTTAGTGGCCATACATTCATTTGAGTATTTTGTTTTCATGTATTAAGAAAAAAAATAGTGGTGGTGAAGGTAAAGTACAGTAGCTGCTTTTTTTTCCAGTACTATCTGGACAAGCATGATACCTGAAACTGCTGCAAATATTTAAAAGCCCCTTCTAGCAGAAGCTTCTGTCAGAAGAATAAGTAGTGGAAGCTGCGATTTTTAACAGCTGATAAACATGTAAAGCAGGCAAACCTTCCACATGCCACAGCCTTCACTGGCATTTCTGTTTACACCTTCACTGGAACGTCCAGAAAAGTGTGCCACATCTTCAGTTTCAATTGGGGCTCCCAAACTCACACTTTGGTTCTCAGCAGGATTCAATTATTTTCAAATGCTCAGATAAATATACTGCATACCGAAGGAAACCTCTAGTTCAAAATGCAAATCGATTCACATCACTGTAAAATTGTAAAATCCACTGACTCCTAGTGCTCTTTTTCTCATAGAGTCTGGACAAATATGATTTGCCAGTGGCCAGTGAGCCCGAGATGCCACTCTTTCTGTTCCAGCTCATCCCACAAACATTCACTGTGGCTCAAGTCTCGTGTGTAGTGTATCCATGGCATAAATGTCACATTCCCATCCCTCCTGAAGTTATACCACCAGGAATGTTGTCACATTGGAATAAACCTGTAGGAAGGGCAGCAAGTTACATGCAAAGATTTTTACCTTAGAGCACAGAGAAATTCGATTTGTAACTGGATCTTATCTTAGTACGCAGCGGGTGCAGGGCAGGATACACCCTAGACGAGACACCAGTCTATCACAGGGCAGACACACAGGCATGCACACACTCTGACCAGTTTTCCAAGAAGCTTATTAACTTAACCACTATGTTTTTGGAGTGTGGGCAGAAACCTACGTGAAAAGAGGGAGAACAAACTCAATGCAGATAGCCCCCCCCCCTTGGAATCGAACCTAGGGCCACAACACTGCATGGCAACAATGACAACCATTGTGCCACAATGCCACCAGACATAACTCAAACAGTATTTACACAGAATAAGGCCTGATGCTGAAGTTTCATATTTAAAATGTGGGTACAATTCTGCTACTTTTTGGGGATAACCATTTTCTTTTACTAGGTACCTGGACAGATCTAATACTTCAGCAAGAAATACTTGCAAGCATGTTTTTATAACTCTATCATGTTTAGTACTGTAAGATAGTTATTGTGCCAGGTGAACCTTATATTGAGCATACATTGTACACCTTTCAGAATGGTTATTGTGTGGAAGTGATAGTGACAGAATCAGAGGGGTCTTTCATGAGCTTGAATTGCTGCTCTGTTTCTAGCAAAGGCCTACACAGACTTTGCTATATCATGGATCGCATCATAAAACTCAGGGGAACAAACAGGAAATGACAACATTCCAGGACAGAACAAATGACTGGGCAAAGCGCTGCCAGGGCCTAATCTCCAGAGAGTCTGTAGTTTCTCTGTGACAGACGTCTTGTTTTTCTACAAAGTTTTGAACCTCCAAATCCACTGGATATTTAACATGTAGACTAGAATATTGAATATTGGTCATGATGGAGATTGCTGTAGTGAGAAGAATTAAAGATTGTTGAAGATGATGCTATACGTTTCAAATCTTGATTTTTTTTGTATTCAATTGTATTCCTGTTGTGTTTTAATTATTTGTGTTTTGAAAGTTAAAGATAATACCCTTATTATAATGTTGGCTGCTGTAATATGCCATTACGCAGTTTAAAGCATTTAGGCATTCAAAGATCTGGAGATGGACTTCAAAATAACATGTTTACTGCTGAACAAAATGACCCTGCTTTAAATCAAAAGTCTATTTACATATCTATTTTTAAAAGCTTTGCTTTATATTTCCAAATGTATAAATGCCCACTAGACAAAGTGATTTTATTTTTTAATGCAGTATTATTCTTGTACTTTATATATAGGGAGAGAGTAGGATTGCACAAACATAATAAAGTTATATTTTCTGCAAATGTAAAATAATATTTTAACAGTACAATGTCAAATGTTAATTCAGCGTAGGAAGTGAGAAGCACTCCTACAGCAAGCATAGCAAGATTATTTTGACTATAAACAATCAAGGTAGAACAGGCAACCAGACAGAATCTGACTCATCAGATGGAAAACAGGTTCTGATGCTCAAACCCTAAATCCAGTTTTGCACCTATAGCAGCAACGGCCCCTATTAGCAGTGGAGCATGCTTCATCTAATGAGTGTGGGTATGTTTATACTGACGACAAATGATGTACAAAAATAGTCTTTGCAAAGGCTGAGTACAGCACACCTCAGCCTTTCACCTTGAACACCCCACACTCTTGCAATGCACATGCGTCTTTATTTCAATCTGCATTAATTCCTGTTCCACCAATTGCTGAGCTTAAAGGTTTTTATAATGGTTTTATTTTCTCAAAGGTATCCATTACTTAGGCACTTGGCTCTGGGGGCAAAGCTTACTCTGATGATGCACAAAAGGAATTAAAGCCCGATACCTACGTGGAAAAACACTTACCCATTTACAGGTTATTGCTTTAACCTTAAATATATTTCTACTTGATGACCACATATATTCCTGTCATCAGTTGTACAGTGTACCTGTGAGTCATCAGTTACGGATTTGTTTGGGATAGACCTTGTGAATTTGGTTTTAAATATTGGCTTGTTGTCATGTTGGTAACTGTAACTCATAAACAAAATAATCATTTTCATCTTAACCAAGAGAAAGGTCAGCCAAAAAAATACTTAAGGTTAAATAGTACAAGTTCCATTATGGATCTTATAATTTTGCACACAATTAATTCTTGTAAAAATGAATTAATAAAATGAAGATTTAACATTTTTTATTCATTTTATTCTGCAATGATTTATTGTACATGTGCAACCAAGTCCCTTTTAGTTTATACCATAACAGCTTAATGGTGCATTTGCATGATTCACTCTTGCACTTTTTTTCCAGTGGCTCAGCAAGTTTGTTTTTAGACTGAGACAATCACTCACTTTGTGTTAGATTTAAGCATGTTCAGCTCAGAATTTTTTTAGATTGATAATAACCAGACGTGATTGTTATCTTTGTTCTTAAGTCTGAAATGGTTCAGTATAGACTATTGTTGTGTTTAAATTTGCGTAAAATGAGATTCACATGTAATAAAAATAAGAATTCTTATACTTCTGTCCACATTGCTTTTCTGTGACAGTATGGCAGTACAATCCTCATCTGTAAGACCGTTGTAGCTCTTACTTTAGAATGGATTATCAATTTATTTCTACACTTGTGAGTGGTCATAAACGATTAAGAGAGGGAAAACCGAACTGGCGATACTGAAGTCAAGGTTAAAGGTCAAAGATTAGATCCTGACATTTGACAAAAAATTGTCCAAGTTAAAGCCAGGGCATTTTGATATTTTAGATCAGAGGTTTAAAATTCCATTTATAAATTTGTAACATGTAATATATTATCAAAGCATTATAGAGTGTTAGTAACCTGGTAGGAATGGACTTCTACTCATGTTTAATTGCATGTTTAATAACAGGTCATTTTTTTTAATTAAGAAGAGGTTGATAAATAGCCTATACTGTATATTTTCAAAGTCTCTTTTAACACTTAATCTATGTTACCTATTCTCTCATTTCAAACCACATAAAATTAGTTTTGAAATAGATTTAATATTAAAAAAAATACAAAAGTGCATTCTTTTCATTGACTTGAAATTTTAACTGTTAGTATATTTCCAAATACATTATTCCGTTTTCTTTTGTTCTCCAGGAAGTATTTTGGGATATACTGTAACTGCTAAAACATCCCAGGGGAGATCAGGTAAGTTAAATCTTCTATACCGGTTTTCCATGGACAAATGTCATTACCAATTATATATTTTTATATCTTTTAGCTTAGAAATCTATTCTCAAATACATTGTGTTTTTCCAATGTTTCCTCAAGAAAAGGTATGCAGAACATTCTGGTGAATTTACAACAGGACAATAGTGAAAACCTAACCATGTAGCCGTGAGTTCGGTTTTAAAAAATTGATTAAATGCAATTCTTCAGTAACTTGTTTCCTTTTAATGAGCCATTTTTTTAAGCACCTCAAAAACATTTTCTAATAACCATGCTGATTATTATCTATAATAATCCTATCCTGGCAAGCAATGAGAAAAGGCAGGACACACCCTTGACAGGACACCAGTCCATTGCAGATAGAAAAACATGCATACACTCAGACCAGGGCCAATTTCTCAGAAGCTAATTAACCAACCAGTATGTCTTTGAACTGTGGGAGGAAACTGAAGTACAGTATGCCCAATCCAACATGGGGAGAACGTTCATACTCCACACAGGCAGCACTGCAGATCTGGAATTGAACACCAAGCCCCAGCTCTGCGAGGTAGCAGTGCCAATGATTGGCCACTGTGCCGCACCTCAATTTATTTTTATGTCTTCAATTAAACAAATATCCATCGATGGAATGCATTTTCAGAAAACATAAGTCAATTTAATTTCCATCATGTGTTCTATTTGAGCATTTAATAAATGGCAAATCCCACCCACGTAATTTTTTTCAGCTTTATTTTTAACAATCAATGCATTCAAAATCAGACGTTGAGTTTTAGAAGTTCCTTGTACATTGCTTAAAATGGCCCTCTGCAAATGAATTCTCCCAACATGGAAACATTTTCACTAAAGATTTTAACATTTTTTCAAAGATCTATTCATTAAGTCTTTATAGTAATCTCCATCTCAAATGTGTACTAATAAGAGTTTGTTTTCACTTCACCTATGTTTCAGTCGATTTCTTAAACTGATTTATGAAACTGAGTGACACAATTCAATTTTATCTTGACTTGATACAACTAATATAGATAAGTTCTAAAAATCACGATTCTAACATTTAATTGGATAAGACTTTTATCAATTACGATTCATAAATCGACCACCACTGTCTCACCTCTATAACCTATAAGATTAGCCCGACAGACTCAATGTCAGAAAAGGCATGTAGTCCACTGCAATACCCAATGAAACCTGTAAAAAAGACAACATATAATCAATAAAATCCAAAAGAGTGCAGTTTTCACTGATCTGTGACAAGGTATCTGCCAGAAACAATGTGTGAGATTTTATATTATAGCCTTTTCAACAGAGTTAAAAAATTCAACTTGCAAACAAAGAGGGTTTCATTAAAAGGAAATGGAAAATGTTTTGCTTCATTAAAACAACAATTAATCGCTGTCGGATTAAAAAAAATCATTTCTTTTGAAATCAGTGTCAAAATGTCTTTCTTGAAAACCATTTGGTACAAAATCTAGAGGTTAGATGTGACTATGACTACCTTCCAAACCTTCCAGAGCAGAAACAATTTAATCAAAAAACAAAAAATATGAGATTTAGAAACATTCTGTAGAAATAGCAATACTTACAACAAGATGTGCAAGGAACATGCTAGGTTTTACTTATGGGCATAGATAAGAGTTCATCTTTGTACAGTCCATTATAAAGCTGATCATCCTTTGCTGCTGCCCAGGACATTTGCTTGGAGTTAAATCTAGCAGCCCAGTCTCCAGTTTTGTCCAAAACCACAACCCCTCCAAACCCCTGTACTCTTTCAAACATGTATGCCAGTGCAATATCGGAGGCTTCTTTTGGAGACTTTCCTGAGATGAGGGAGAGAAAGAGAGAGGAAAGAGAATGGAGATTATATTTGGAGCTCAAGAATACTGTTAGTACTCGAGTCATCTCATTCCTGGCTTATAGACCAGGGGAAAGGACTATACCACTAATTCAGTGCAGTTTAATGTGCGTTGCTGTGTCTATTTAAGCTTTACAACAAAGGGTGGGTTATTGCTATTGGATAAATGACCCAAAAACTATTTGCTGAATTTGGAACATGATTTATTTACTTTCCAATTGGTGACTGTGGGAGGAAGACTGGAATCTTTATTTTATGGAAATTTCTTGGAGAAATGGAGATCTTTTTCCATATGTGCATGTAAATATTTAATATGTTACATGATCTATTAGCATTCAAAAGCTGAGAAGCACAATATCAACATAAACCATTAATCAGTTAATAAATATAAAAATGTTACATTTTAATCTCAGTACCTGTTAGGACATACTTAACTGTGAGACTACAGGGAATACTGACATGACAAATGTCATGTTTATTGACTTTCTGATTCATTCACTTCTCCACTGAGGTAAATGTTTAACCAACAAACACCAGATCTGAATGACCTTGAGAAATGGTTAGCGAAAAGACATTTCAGGTAGAAAACTTGCACAGACATTTTAATCGATTTCTTTTCTCGTTAACTGTAGGTCCTAGGTTTTAATAAACCTTGTCCTCTGAATTAGATGATAAAGTAACTCCATTTTGAAACTAATGATTAGAATGAATGTTCATAATCATTTCCATCCTTTATAATGTATTTTCTATCTCTATTTCAGATTGTCTTGTACAGATGTGTAGCAAAAAAAAGGTTACATTACAAAATAGAAATGTTTAAAGAATATCCCTCAGAAATGGATCCTCTTCTATAAAACCTGTTAACTTCATATCAACAGCTACGTTACTAATTACTTCTCATTTACTGCAGATAGGTCTGCCACCATCTACAGATCTTTGAGAATATTTCCTCTTTTCAACCCACATACTGCTTTGTTGCAAAAATCCAATTTGTTTGCTACTTTTCATGATGGGGAGCCTTCTGTTTGGTCCTCTCTCCACTTTGTCCTGTTCACAGGTAGGAAAAACCTAACAGAATATTAGGAATGGGCTGGAACCATTTTGCAGCAGAACTGAAAAGGTAGCACAACAGCACTTAAACCCTGGCTGCCCAAAGCAACTTTTATTTGCACAAAATACATGGCCTTTTCAGGCAATGTGTCCACCAACACTGCTGCACTTTCCTGCCATTTACACAGTATGTACACAACAAACACATATGTTGTAAGTTTACCTTGCTCCATGTGAAACAGGATAAGTCTGCACAATGTCACCTTCATGATTTCCTCCCCACACCCTGTGGGGGACGCTGCACCCACATAGTTATCTGCATAGGCGCCACACCCTGGGGGTAAACAAAGAAGCAGCTTTCCAGTTTAGGGTCCTGCATCATGGCCAAAGCTATTGCTAACTCAGGTGGTTCAAAACACAGGCTGCAGGATTCCCTAAGGGATGGCAGTAAAACAGGACTTCTGCTCATGGAGCAGGGAAGCATATACAGTACATGTATTCATAAAAATGCACTTAAGATCCCAGTTGTTAGCATCACTAGAGATTTTAGTCATCAAAACTAAAAACTCTGGTTGCATAAAAAAGCATGTATGACAATTAAGTCGGTCTCCTTATTGTGATACATCTAACATAAACATATGGAGAACATTTTCTACAATTCATTTGTCCAGATACCAAGACAAATAACCTCTTGAAATTCTCCAGCAGAAACAGCTGTATCTTTTTTTGGTTCTTACTTGTCATACATTCTATTCTATGCTCTTTTATTACATCCACTACTGCTTTAAGACCACTGGTAAAAAGCGTCGTGATAAGCAAATTGGAAGAGATCAAAGACCAGCAAAACCAGCTAGATGTCATAAATCTTATTACCCACTAGGTGGTGCAAAATGTACTTAAGAAAAAGCTCAAGATCATCCACTGTAGTAGCAGTTAATACCTAGGACAAACACAAGCTTCACAGTAATTGCTCAAAGCAGGTTAAAGAATGACGTTTCTTAATCAGAAAACCTGACATATAAAGTCATACCGTTGAGACAGATACCCGGCACTAGAAACATTAGAGCCACACAATTTGTTACTGAACAGGGCAATCTTATCATGCGATTAAAATACGAGTTCTAAGTGTTACTTTCTATTCCCAGATGTTATTAATTTTAACCATCTTGTATATGTTTCAAAATTATTAAGATTACTGATTTTACAATTGCTTGCAGAGGAAGTGAAACCAAACAAATCAGAAGTATTAAAAAAATTTAACTATATAAATAAAAAAACACTGAATGAATTACAGAGAAATGCCCAAAACAATATATTATAAAGCAAACATATTTTGTTGGAAATAGTGTGAAAGTGTGGTTTCTGCTCCTTAAAGAGAATGGCTGGTGCTCATTGGCTCTTTACACCCTCAGTAATCTAAATACAACACCTGCTGGGCACAACCTTATCTGACAGGTGTTGAGACATAAAGGTTTAATAACTTCTGGTTGAGAAAATTTCCAATTTGTATCCGTTAATACAGTGGATTGGAATTCAACTTACCACATCATATCGCGAGTTAAACACCATGATGTACTAGGGATGTGGTTGTGTGTGCAGTATTACTAAATAGGTATAGTCTTAACATTTACAAAATGAAGAAATATGCAGCCGTGTTGATTTGGGTTGTGTTTCATTACATTCTTGTCCATGAAAACCCACGCAGAAAAATATTTATCAGTAATGTGTTTATTTGCTACATTTTTTTTTGATAGGAAGATCTTGATTCTTGATTAATTCCACCTAATAGCTACAAAGATTAGAATTCCCTGACATCAAGGCATACCTTTAAAGACCAAAAGACAATGGGCGATTAGAATAACCAGTTTCTGGGTCGATTTGCATGAGAAAAATTGCATGATGCGTCTATCGCCAAACAACTTTTTGCCACCTGCTGACAATGTTTTGAGCAGGGACAGGAAAATGAATGCTGACGCTCTCTCCTCAAACTGCTGGTGATTCTACCATTACAGGACACTTTGTAACATGGAAAATAAAATAGTAGACAAAGCGTTTTGAAAAAAGTTTTAAAATAACATTTTCAAGTGTACACAAAAAGCTCTTCATACAGCCTGATGGGAAAATCAAGTTGGTTTATATGCTACTATCATGAAAGAAAACCGTATTTATCAACTCTTACAAATGTACTATATAGCACATAACTTACTTTTATTTTAAGTCTGCTTTTTGTGTAATACACACCGCACAATTATTCACACATCACAAATTATTTATGACAAATTTGTAACATAGCTGACATGAGGGAAACAGCTGACAACTGTAATCCTTACAAATTAATTGAAATTGGTTGAATTGAATTCTAAAATGTGCAAAAGTGTGCAAAAAACGTTTGAGGAGAAACAACTTCCGATATTTGAGGGGAAATGTAATTAACTGAGGTACAGTATTTCTCATTTTCGCAGATTCCAAAAATAAACAAGAAAACATATCTAGACAGCCCAGCCTTTCCACTGCCTGTAAAAACGACACCTCTCAGAAATATGTGGTTGTGCTGCTTTGTCACATGCAGGCCCACTCCACCCTTGGTGGTTTATTAAATACTTGTATGATTGCACAGACTTAAATTGCATGTTTGCACAGTCATGTTTTTAATTTGAACCTAACTTTAACTTGCAAGAGCTCACCGGAAAACTGATTAAAACAAGCATATCAAAACTTTCCAAAACTAAAAAGTTTATTTTTATTTTCAGCTACCACATCTAGCTATACAAATTATACTGTATTTATATTCCTAATTAATTTTATTAATAACATTCAGGAATGTTATTATATATATATTTTTTAAATATTTGGCTACAACATTTTCCCTTTAGTTACATGATTCAATATCAAGTGGATTTAAAGACCTAGGCTTACAGTACATGAATGTTACAGTACTGTACAAGTACAAAACATACTGGTGTAATGCAAGAGCCCTCGATCTAATGGATCCACGCTCAATTCATAGCATGCAATTCCCTTTATAGAAAAAAAAACTGTATAGCCATGTTACATTTTAAAATTGTATCTAGGCTGTGTTTTTGTATGTTTATATAGCATATGAAATAAATTATTTTCAAGAAATGTGGTTTTCAGACTGAGAAAAAAATTAAATGATAATGCTGTTACAGTGGCTGAACTCCTTTTGGTACCATCTGTGAATTGTTCCTACATTTTTCTTAATATAATAGAATCAAGATCACCACTGTAAGTTTCTAAGTAATTCATAATAATTCACAACACTTATATAGCGCTTTTTCTGGACACTTCACTCAAAGTGCTCTAGAGGTAATTGGGACTCCCCCCCACCACCAATGTGCAGCCCCCACCTGGGTGATGCAACAGCAGCCAAAGTGTGGCAGTACTCTCTCCACACATCAGCTATCAGTGAGGAGGAAAACAGTGATGAAGCCAGTGTATCGATGGGGATTATTAGGAGGCCCTGACTGTTGAAGGCCAGGGGGAAATGTGAAAGTCAGGACCTCGGTCTTCCATGTAATCCACACGGTGGTGCCTTTTTTACAGTATTATGTCCCCATTACTACACTGGCTAATTATTACCCCCACAGACTGCAGGGTGAGTGCTCCTTACTGGTCCAACTTCCAGCTCTTCCAGGTGGAACCACTATACATGTATCTTCCACCAGTAACCCTAACTTTCCCAGGAAGTCTCCCATCAAGGTACTGGCCAGGCTCACACCTGCTTCATTTCAGTGGCTTGCCAGTTGTGAGCTAAATGGTGATATAGTTGCAGGCTATAAGATGAGCAGTGGAATTGATTCCTGTTGTACCCAACTACAATACATTTAGGAATCAACTTGTTACACAAAGTGGTGTGACTATCTATAAAAAAAAACTGCTGAGCAACTAACAACCAAATCAGGAGGCCATTCTACCCATATTGTTCTCGTAGTCTTACAATCATTTGCAAAGAAAACTCACCATCTTATCATAACTTACCTACACAAGCTGTGTCACCAACACGCCCCACCATCTTATTAAGCCTTCCACCAGTAGATGTTGCGCTGGCCACATTCCCTTCAGCATCAATTGCAACAGCACCGACTGTGCCCATTTTTCCCCTGTAAAATTCACAGCCATCAGGACACGTCAGTGAGACAATTACACAGCACAAGTGTCTAGATATTCCTACAGGAACCATGAAAGCTAGCAATGTACTGTAGTTGCATTAACAAGTTAGAAGGCGCATTTGTAACAAAAAATCATTCCACAAATGCTGAAATTTAATTGAACTGAACATTTTCTGAATTTAAGTTGATTTCTTTAGATCTTCATTTGTTGAATATTTAAGGATATCTTTTGATAAATTACAGGAGCACACCATTGACGGTGGTTTCAGAAGTGTACGAAATTAGCTTTGACACAATCAGAAACTGCATGCTGTTGACTACAGTGTATTTACATGCAAGGCAAGCTTAATCTAATCTTTTGGCATGCAAACATAAAAAATAGAAAAGAATTGCATACATCTGACATTGCACTGGATTGGATCCAGGGGGCAGATTCTTCTTCCATCTCATCCTGGAATAGTCTGTTTTTAAGAACTCCTCTGGCACCTCTGGAATACCCATTGCTTTGGCAAATCTAGATGCACCATGACCTGTCAGGCATACATGATTCGTCTAGAAAGAAAGGCAGAAAAATTCACTGCAATACATTAATCTCCCTGGAGCCTTTATTTCTTTTTTATAGCAAACTGAAAGCTCTTCCAGGTTTCCCTAGGAATTGAATTGCAAAGTACATAATTAGTGAACTACTTCCAGGAAAATCAATAAATTTCAGCCAGTAGCAGTTGTAGTTTAACATGAAAAAATAAAGAGGGTCATGCTTGTTTTCTATTCTACATAAACTACTAGCATTCTTTTGAGAGACTGAAGCGTTGGCACTGTGTTTCCTTCCGAGACCATTAAGTCCAAATGAGTCTGACCACGTCTTTTCTCCATGTGAAAATATTTAAGGTTGTCCTACCTACTTCTGCTCACACCCAAGCCTTTTTTTTATCCCCAGCCACTAAGCAGAGCTGAACCGATCTCAACAGGAGTTGTGGATGCAAATGCTTCTCACAGCTGTATCATGGTATGAGAGCATGGCTGCCACCAAAGCAATTGACCCTGGATGTTCATATTCAAGCTCAAAGTTAATCCAGAGGACTACCACAAGATGGAAAAGTATAACCGTTACATTTAAGACTGAAAACAGGGTTCACGTCATAATAAGAGCCATTAGGATATGGAACAAACTGCCAACCAAGCTGTTCAAACAGATACATCTGTGAAGGATCCCCGGGACAGTATAGTATGTGATCTTTGCATCAATAAGCTACCAGCAGCACCAAAGAGCAAAAACCCAATCATGTCCTTATACAAACAGGATACCATGAGTACACAGAACAGCAACATGAAAAGAAAAAGGGGACTATAACATGATCAACCTAATGATTTAGATGATAAACCTAGCCCCTGACCAGTAATGTGAATCAGGAAGAGTGAATAAGAAAACTAAGCCGATTACTGTTAAATGCTGCTTCAGGTACTGTACAGTATATGCCTTCTTATCTGAAATGTATGCAGGGTTTTTTTTGTGTGTATGTGAAGTTCTTATGAGCATACTATATAATCATTTCCTTGGGTGTAAATCAGTCTTTGAAACTATAAATAACACCTCCTACCTTTAAAATTGGTACATGTTAAGCGATAGTCTAAGAAAAACAGATACCTACTGTAAAAATCAAAAGATTTTCCATATATCCAAAAAAAGTGTTAGTCTTTGTGCGAAAACATAATGCATCAGACAGAAAATTAAACAAAGACTACATTCAGTTTGACCATAAAATGAACACTGTTAGTTCCTACTTGGACATTTCATTTTATTCCCAGAATGGAATTCTTCATTCTCTTTAGAGCTCAGACAGGTGTATTTAGATAAGATAAGATCACTTTATTGACCATATACAATTTCTTGCATTAGGAATGTGTCTTTTCGCGTACCCCAGCTTGCTCTCCATGAGACACAGACAGGGAGAGAAGCTTGGGGTCAGAGCGCAGGGTCAGCCATTTATACGGCATCCCTGGAGCAGCTGGGGATAAGGGCGTTCCTCAGGGGCCCAACAGAGTAGGATTCCTCTGCCAGCTGCAGGATTTCCATACCTTTTCCATAACGAGTCTTGATAGTTTGATTGGATTTGCAATTCTTCTGACAGCTGAGACTGCTCCACTGTTCAAGGTTTTGCCATCCATGATAATCGCATCCATTTCAATATCTCCCAGTTCATTCAGGACTGAGCCACGACCTTTGAACCAAAGGTACATGGGAAAACAAGAACACCAGACAAACACAGTATAGTCTTCAAAACATGCCATAATATATTTAAGTCACTGCATATTTTGTGTGAAACAGCAAATGATACCATGTGTCCGCTTAAAGTACCAAACATTGTGTTGTGTTTTGTGGAAATGTTTCTAGGCTACAGGTTTTTTTAATTTTTGTTAAAAATGATTAAATTTAGAATTATTTTTACATGAATATCAGGATGGCGCTTGATGTCTTTGTGGATAGGTTCTCGTCTAGTACTACAGCAGAGTATCCAAAATTTAAGTCATATGTTACCAGCATTAAAAACGGGGTTGTTCTCCATTTGCACTACAGCCTCCTCCACTGCGTCCAGCGCGGTACCACCACGCTGAAGGATGCGGTACCCGTGAAGAACTGCTTCCCGCACTCCTTGACGAGACAGCTCCACTCTTTCCTCCGAAATGTGCCCGGCACCTCCGTGCACCACAATGACAGGTATCATGGCAATTAATTCACCTTGTGAAAAATTAGAGATTAAATATATATATTTATAAAGCATACGAATCTGCCCTCCGCGGTATTTTTCAGTTCTTTTAAATTATTTTTAGCTCAATTTTGCAGAACGTTTCACTAACCTTGTAATACTGCGTCTTGAAACTAGGAACTTGGCTCACGACAGGAATCCTCAGCGATTCTTGTTTCTTGGCAGAAAAGTGGGCAAAGCTTGTTTCTGAACCTTGACCTAGAACAGGCGTATTTTATCACGTGAATTGCGTAGCAAAACTAACCATTAACAACGGAATGAAAAACTTACCCAAAATATCCCTTCTTGGGTTAAAGTAAAAAAGTACCTTTATTATATTAGGTAAACTCTTCACCAGACTTCACTGCCTTGTCATTCTCACACCTGAAGAAGGATCCACTGCCGAAACGTTTTCTTTCTTTCTTTTTTCAGCATGGAATAAACCTATTACTAGTTCCTTTGCAAGAACAACTTTGCATGCTGACGCAGCTAATGTACCTACCGGAACTTTCTACGTATGCACTAGTAAATCGCATCAAAGAAGGAACTACGTATCTCCCAGCATTTCACATGACAGGAATACCAACAAAGGAATACATGCACTGCAGATTTTCAAAGAATACTTTTCATATGTATTGACTGAAAGAAACGGACTCCAGAGTGCCGCTTTTTACAGCGACAACATTCTTAGTTGATTACACAAATGAAAACCCTTAAACATTAATTTAAAAGAGTAAACAAATTAGCTAAACCAAAACTTTATCCAGGTATATCATATATGGGTTTCAGCTTTTAAAAAAGAAATTAAAGCATATTCAAACCATAAACAAACCTCTGTAACATGAATCCAAGAATCGTTCTCGGCAAACCAGCACCGTTCCTCCAAACGGTGTCTCCGTTATACAGTCGCGTTTAGGAAATAGAAAAAACTGCTGATAAAGCGCACGGAAGCTTTGTGCGCCATCTATTGAACACAATGTAGCATTACTGGCTTGGACGACAAAAACGCATGGGCTAGATCGTAATATCAAAATGATAGTCTTGCTTTGTAGCTTTAAATACATTACTGAAACAAAAACAATGTCTGTAATCTTATAATTACATACTGGTATCTGTTGATAAGATAAATACCAGTATTAACACGTGCTTATTTACACCAGATTTCAGTTATCTACTATCAAGCTCAAATACTGGGTCTGTCCTGAGGTTATATCAGAGATCTCTACTCCTGGTCGTGGAGAGGCTGTGTGGCTGCAGATGGTCTAGGTCTGTTTAACGCACCAGCACCTGAAGAACTCGGATAATTAGTACATTTATGCCAATGACGAGCAGATTCAGGTTAGTACAAGCCCAGCTGCCCTGCAGGACCAGGAGTGAGAATTTCTGGTCGATACTGGTAATTAACAGAAGACAGATCATTTTCAGGATGCTAATTATGCAGGTTTTAAAGGTATGGGTAAATATTTTTTAAAGACTTGGGGAAAAAAAGTACTTGCAGGTGATTTTGTTTAAATGAAGTATTTCACAGCTCACTTATAATTCTCTTGGATGAATAGTGATTACTAAATTGATCAAGTCTTTTGAAATCCTTGATTTAGTATGATTTATAAAATACACTGGATTAGGGCTCTCCAGACCCGGGACTGCAAAGCCCTGATGTGGATTGTATTAGGCAGGTTATGTCAAGATTTTAACTGCTGTTGAAGGTAGTAAGTATCAATAGAATAATAACATTCTGAAAAGATTTCTTCCACTTCTATACAGGCACACCTGCTAAGAATACAATTTGAGATTTTGTTACATCCAGGACCAGGGGCCAAGTGTAAAAATAAAAATAAAAAACAAAAATGAAATACTTGACAGAATTGTACTCTCATAGTGATTTTTTTACCTGCAATGCATTGTTTAATCAGGTGAATAGAAAAGTGCTGAGAAGAGAAAGAAAACCATAGCCAAATGTTTAAAGAATACACTTAGCAGTTTCAGCCACATTCTTAAACTCATAAACACAATGAGAATTGCCATTAAAAACCATACTCAACTCCTCCAACATCTACAGTCTCACCCTCAGAAACGGGGGTATGTAAAGACAACAGGTGCTTAATTATACAATTACAAAAGCAAGAGATTGACATCCTACTAGATGTCAATTGCCTCAGTGATTAATTAAAATAGTCATGAAAAGTGTATAAAGTAAATGAAGAAAATATACACTATTACAGTACTTTCACTAGACATGTTTCTGTAACTAAGTTGACTAATCTAAAAATGCTGAATCTGCCAGGAAGTCAATTGTAATGTTTCTTGTCAAACAGTTCAATACATTCATGTGACCAAGCTACCCTTCCCACTATTTGAGTTGTGCTAGCCACGTCACATGACCTGTTGTCATTTTTAGTGATCCGGCTTCATGTAATCGTTACATTCAAATGCCCTCCAGGACTCCTAGCTTTCTCATTGGTCACCTTCCGGAAACAACCCAACATATTCAGGTCTTCCCTGATCTCTCCCTTGTGTCTTACATTGACAGCACTAATATTTTTACTCTTTGGATCTTTGCACTCTTTTACACTAGGCACAGAATGTTCATTTCAAGTTACCTTGACTTATTATGTTCTTATGTATCATTCTGCAATGTCTTGGCTCTCTTGAGCAAAGCAAAAAGATACACAGCTTTTTTTTTGCCTCCTCACATCTCCTCATTTGAGTGCCTTCTGTAAGCCCAGGTTCAGCAAGCTATTCCTGTTTTTCAGAAATGTGATACTCACACACCCTACCAATTGTGCCTAGGACCCATGAGTGGCACACCTCAGTGCATTATCCTTTTAAAGCTGCTCCAGAGCTCACCAGTCCTACAGGCCTGTTAGCTACACAAATGCATTTCTAACAACATCCATTTTCAGGGTTCTGCCTGTCTCTCAATGAGCCTAGATACAGCCTCCTGATTAGTCAGAGATGTGACTAATTCCACGTGAGAATTATTCTCACGGCTCTTTTCCTTCTCGTGGAATTCCATTCTCTCAGAATGCTCCAGACTCAATCAGCCCAGCTGTGTCTCATTCTGCTGCAATTTTCAATTACCAGGCAGCCATCTTGACCCAATGCAACGCCATTAGTCCTGGGGTTTGAGCCAAAATGGTGTCTTCCTCAAGGAGCAACCTCTTAAAACATCACAGCTTCCTAATTAAACAAATTGCATGAATCCTGTTTTGCTATCTGCTAAAAGCTGCTAAGAGCATTAGAACACTAAACATAAAAAACCTCTTGCAAAAAAAGCCATAAATAACAAAACAAAAATGGATGATGCACAATCACAGACTGCAGGGATGTTACGTGATTAGGAATTGCAATTACAGTTTAAGTAATAGCATAAGAAAGGTTAAATATGAACCACTAAAGAGGCCAGATGGGCAGCTAGCTCATTGTAGCCTTTATTCTGTTCTCATCATATTATTTTAACATAGTACTGTATCATATATTTCCCAGACTCAACAGGTCTTTTTACTTCTCTATTGATTTCCTGTTTCTGTCAGCTCTAAATGGTTGTACAAGAAATGTGTTCATGTAGTACAAAGTCGAGATGTATAACAATTTTAAGTTATGGAAGATAAATTGTGTAAAATTTACAAAGATATTTACATAAAATACTGTGATAAGTGTCAAAAAAATAATGCCTGAATACCATCTCAGTGATGACACATCAGAACAGCTATTACAGTTTTTATTATTTTTCAAGTATCTAACTTTGTTTATAGTTTGTTTTTCAGAAAGTTTCTGTTAATAGAACGAAAGACAAAACAGAGGCTTTTTTATGACACACCTATAACAGTACATGAAATGTTTTGACAACAAAGAAAAACTCATTGCTCCTATAAGGATTTTATTATCATAAACAAAATAAAAGCATTAAGACGATCTACAGTATACTTGTGCTACATTGTAAGTGAATGTCTTGCTGCTAGTATTATCCTAAGATTTACTGTTTGTATAATTGTGATGTTTTTGTTTTAAAATCAATAACTAAAAACTTTTGTTTCTAGCCTGAAGTGAAAACACAATTTGAAGAGAGACTACGGGTATTACTATATGCTCTATTGTTTTTTAGCACAATAGAGAATTATCTTTTATAACAACAGAATAGTCATCTTTATTGTGCACATGTGCAATAGTAAAAACAGGACATACATTAATAACACCAGTTCTTAATGTAATTTTAAAAGACAAAATCTTTTAATCTAGTCAGAGTAAAAATATTTACTAGTGTTAGAATTTAAATACATTTTTACCCATGTTATCTACCTTGGAGTTACAAGGAAATTGTGTTTTTTGCATAATGTATAGCAGGCCAATACAACCTTAGTGGCTTTTTTTGCTTTAAAATTGTGTATGTTTGCTTACAAGCAAAGGTTACTACAATAGTTTATTTTGTGCATCTGATTCTTGGATCTAGATTTTTTAAAAACTTTATGCAATTCAGCCATTGTTTCAAATTTTCAATGCTTTGTTATGGTTTTGGGAAGATAGTGTTCAGGAAGTAGAGTTGAATGCAACAGATTATTGGTGTAAGCAAGAGGCTCACAGAGATAAGATGAATCTTCTCTTCCAAAGAACCACAGATCAGCTACAGTATAAGTTCTGTCCATGGTCCTGAATCAATGGTTATTTTATGAAAATTGTAGCAGTTGAAATTGCAACCATGTATAACATCACTGGTAAATGAATAATGTTGTTTGTAATGAGAGCCTGTCATGTGTAGTGCATATTTTAGGACCCTTTGCAGAGTCAGAGAGAGAAAACTGAATTCCTATGCGAATGTAATCCAAATCGTGAGGCTAGAGCAAGGTCGGGGATCAGAAGCAGTAGATCAGAAATCCAAGGGGTCAGAAGAACGAATGAGAAGTCTGAGTAAGTCGCTAACTGGATGTGTAGCTCTGGCTGAGGAAACCTCAATAGTGAGTGAGGACAAGTTGCAGAGTGGGAGTTTAAATAGACAAGGTGAGTGAAGCTCATTAGTGAGTGATCAGGTGCTTGTGGGAATGCAATGGTATCTGCGTGCCTGTGTGCGGTTTGTTTATGGAGCTGTTAAAAAATAGCTTACCCATATAAATTGAAATTTTGGGGATTTCCAATTCCTTTCCAGACTTCCAGCTGTTAAACAGTCTGAGCATCACATGCCTCCACTTTTATTGGAAAATAGCCCCACAAATCACATTCAAATAAAAAAAAAACATTGATGAAAAGCCTACTATCATTTCCAAGTCCATCAGAACCAAATGAGAACAGAATACCAGAATAATCATCCACCCATTTTCTTAATCCAATACAAGGTTGTGTTAAAACAGTTTAACAACAGCTAACAATGAGCACAACTAGGAAACCTGGACAGGATGTAATTACTATAATAATAATAATCTTTAAAAGAAAGCAGCAAAGAGTAATGACTGGGAATATAGCCATTTTACACTATGATGACCTCTACAGCTCTAAGATTCTACAATACAGTTTTGCATTTGACAATGTGGAGAGGTCAGAGGTTATGAAGATTTTTTTGATAGAGCATGTGACTATAACACTAGTTCAAGAGCCATGGCCAAAGAAATTTAAATCAACTGAATTAATCTGTGGATGTTATATTAGACATAGGTCTCTTTTACTTAAAGATCTGTGGATCTCCTACATTCTTTATCACATTATATTCTATCACATGTTCTAATGAATGCAAACATCTAGAAATTGCTGTTGGATTACGATGGCTGTCTTTTTTATGTAGCTACTTCTCCTCAATAACTTTGATAGCTTAACAATGCAGACACAGCTGAGTATTTTTTTAATCAAATCAAGTGATCAATCAAGTTTTCTTGGAAAAAACATAAATCAAACTTATAAAGGAAGTCTGTAGTTCAAGTTTCAAATCTCTGTCAATTGTGTTTTTGGAGAACATTTTTAAGTCAAAGATTCCCGGAAAAACCAACTACAGTATGACTGCCATCGTGTGACTTTTGTCCTTTATTTTGGTGTTGTATCAGCTTTTCATAGCTTTCTAGAACCATTTGACTTTTCCTAAATCTTTGTCTAATAGTATGGGTGGTCAAAAGCCTCATGATTATGATAAATATTAATAAGCATATAATAAGTACACGCGCATAAAAGTAATCTCAATCAGAATTGTAAATCATCCTAATAAAACCATACATATTTACTTTGAATTGATTCAACAGATCCTGCAAATTGTCTTCAGTTTAGATCTGATGATAGACACTGAAATTTTGTTACACGGTAATAATGAAGGAAAATTCAAATGGTGTTTGGGGATTCTTCCAAGCGATCTCTCTCTCTTATCGATTAACTTTCTTAGTTTACTTTCTTTCTTTGAACGTTCACTCTAGTTTCAGGAGATTTGCTGATGTTTAATCGATTATAAATCTCCCTATGCTCAGATGTTTACGTTGATCAAATTCAGTATCTTTACCCTCTTTTTGCTGGAAGCTACGTAGAACATATGAGCGCAGAGCCACATTTTCAAAGTCACACACCCCTCTTTACATACAAGAATGAAAAAAAAATATAACTCATTGTGTTATTACCAGTAAAATACAGATGACAGATGTGCATTAAAGGGAGTGAAACGTGCACATCATTCTTTCAAATTAAGGGCGTGATGCATTGTACTTACCTAAAAAAATATAAGGTATAGTTTTACAATATATTGAACATTTTACAGCAGTGGTGGTTATCAACTACTACTGTAGATACTGCGCCCGTCTTTCAGACAGTGAATTCCCGGTACCAGGACTGCCTCCGGCTCGGATCCTGAATGAACAAGACAGTAGAATAGAAACACGGACGCGCACGGGAAAAGGCTTTGTACTTCCTGCTGAGATTTATTCGTGCACGAGCCCAGAGGGGGTAGGGGGAACCGGGGTGGCAGAGGTGGGAGGTGGGCGCGCCGCCAGCTTGTTCACACGGGGAGAGGTGCGCGTACAAGCAGTCCCATTCTCAAATGTGAGTGCGCGTATTCGTGCATGAGAGGGGTGCGCGCTTGAGGGGCTGCGGTCCCATTGACTGTTCCATCTCCCTGACAGCAGCATCAGCAACAGTAGCAAAGAGCAGAGCAACGTACGGACTCCGCCTAGCCAACATCAAACACCAAACCCGAGCCTAGTGGTAGGGAAATTTCACAGCAACCAAACCCATGCGCCGCTGATTTACTGTGTGTTATCTCCCGATTAAAGATGGGCTACCAGTAATTGGAGGTGGATTTTGGTGGGGTGGGGGAAGTCGAACTGAAAAAAAAAAGCACAATCGTGGGTGCCCGCAACCATGAAAGGCTTGCACTGTTTGCAAGAGCCGCTGCTCTGTCCGTGGACTATATTGTGAGAAGTGGGTTTGTACTCGGGTTTTATTAAGAAAACGGCACGATAAGGAGGGCTATAACATGTCTGCTTCTCTGGGGTCCCACGGCCCTCGCCCACCCACCGCGCCTCCTTCGATGCAAGATCTGCCGGACCTGAGCCATCTGACGGAGGAGGAAAGAAAAATTATAATGGCTGTGATGGTTAGACAGAAGGAAGAAGAGGAAAAAGAAGAAGCCATGTTAAAGTAAGGGAAGATCAGTTCCTTTTAATTAGCGTTGCACTCCAATTCGTGTAAGGTGGCTATGGTCTGTAGAGATAGTGAGATACTGGATTCCAGTCCGCCATCATTTTGGTTATTAAATATTTCCTCAGTCAATTGATTATTACCATTTGTAGTACAATGTTTCAAATTGATCAAATAGTACTAACGTGAAATCTTTTATTATGTGTGTTTGTGTATACAAGGGAAGCAGCATGCCTTTAACAGAGACTGCAATTGTTCAGACTCATTTACTTCTTAGATTGGTAGCAATTTACAAGAAAGGTTAGTTCGTATTAGGTACATGTCAGATAGCTGGGTGCTGTATAGATTCTCCCGACGACATACACGTTGATACACAGGCAGCCTGCTGACAGACCAGTATAATGTAGAAAATGGTTAAGCATCTTAATTAAGTAATCGGTGGACTGTGAGAATAAGATTTGGTCTGAAGAAGAAAAAAAACGCGAGTCGAACATGTCCACAGCTGTCTTCGATCTCGGAGAGGCTAGAGGGGGGCGTGATCAAACAAGAACAAATATAAAACAGATCAGAGTCATAGTCTGTTTCCACCCAACAACTTATCAAAGTCTTTTTTCCCCCTCCTTATACCCCTGTTCTCTCTTACATATGGGGCGCTAACCGGTTTTCTATTGCACACCTCAACGCATTTAGTTAGCAAAGCAGCAGGTCAGAAATGTGAATAGCATAGCATATACAAATAATTAATTACTAATGGTGTTATACAACAAGAGCATGGCCTTTGACATCAGTGACATAAAGGAGAGGTGGCAAAATTCTTTGCGAAACCTCGTTACTTCGCATTGCCCTTTAACAATTGATAAACTGTATTTATATAGTCCAAATTCCCTCGAAGGGGATTCCATATTCGTTTTTCAGCATGCGGGGTGTGGTTAACAATTTTAGAGCTTTGTGTAGGCCAGCACTTTTTCAATACATTTCTTGGACCCGTAAATGAGATAGGTAGCTATAAAGATGAGAAAAATGCAATTTTATCCAGATTTCTAACAATCCTGTTAGTATGTGTGATCCAGTTTCATACAGACTTGCCGATCGTCCATTGTTTCCTGTTTTTTAGGATGCGATCACGATACGCCGCGTTTCATTTGGTGTGAGCTGCCTCCAGTGTTTTTATCATAAAAATTATTTTGCAAGTCATTATGATTAACTGTAACAACCGTATCGTATATTTTTTTTTGTGTTTTGTGTACCTCCAGCACAAAATTGATTTAAACGAGCGCTGTGTAAATTCCATTATTTTTTACGAAAAGGAACAAAATGGGTTCAGACTGTAATCTGTAATGTACAGCAGCCCATTCTATGGTTAAAGAAGTACAATTGCTAGAGAAAGATTTAACAATGCTGTTTGCTTAATTTTAATACCCTTTTAAGATTTTCTCCCCTATTCAATTATTGGTTTAGCCGTAAAATAACGGATGAACAGGTGGTTTAAATATACACTACAGTGTCTTTAAATGTTTAAAACTTGTCTTTAATGTGACGCGTATATGGCAGTTTACTGTGTTTTGGAACTAAAGCAAAAAAAAAATAATAAACAGGTTTGGTTGTAATACATAACATCATTTACACGTTTATACAAATGTCTAAGCGTTTCCCACTGAATAATAATTTAAAGTGTTTTTTTTTTTCAGTATTGCTCACAATTTTGGTTTTTCTTACTGACTCTTCAGTATGACCCTAATAAATAAACCGGGTAATGTCAGCGTTGTAGAAGCAAAGAACTTCATATACTGAGAAGAATTGTCATATTTCATAGGAAATAAGAGCTCAGTCAATCTGTTGTTTTTATAAAGTAGTTGTTTCTTTGCATTAGTTTAGTTTGCAATAGTATGATCAATTGTCACAGTTGTAGTTAATTTAGCGAGGTAATGAAATTAATAAATATGTCTGCCTATGTTAGACCTGTCTCTTGTGTATTGTGGAAAAAAAGACATTTTTGATTAACATTATCTTAAAATTTAAAATTTAATTGAATTTTTACCCTTCCATAAAGGGAAAACCCTTCTCTTTGTGTGTACTGTATCTTTTAAATACTCACCTTTGAGACTACATGTTCTTAAACTTGAATTCTTATCATGCTTGTAAGAGAGTTAAGTATTCGTGTCCTAGAAAATAATACCCAATATTTGTTTTTCTTTTGCTGGTATGAAGAAAAAGATAATTTTGTTCTCCTGAGCTGAAATTTCCTGTTTTTTTCTTCTGATTAGAAAATCTTGAGAATTTCTTCTTGATTTTCTTTTACTTTCATTGTGTTTCTTTTTAATTCAGGTGTCCCTGCTGTTCACTTGTATTCTAATATGACACAGCTGTTATTTGAAAAATATTTACAGGTTGTTGGCTGTTAAAAGTATTTTCATTTCACATTTAGTTATTTTTTTGTATCCAAAACAGACGGTGAAACTTGGAAACTGGTAAATTTCTGTTGTCATTATAGTCATAGTATAATTTGCTGTTTTTTATGAGAAATGTAGCCTTTTCTAAATAAATGATGGAACATCTAAGGAAATCAATATTTGGATTCTAATGTACATTAATTCTGTCTATTCCTAATGTTGTAACGATCAACACTGTGTGATTTATTACAAATAATCTGCAAACAACATTCCGGATTAAGTGGTTTGGTAAATCCCCTGTACCTCCTGCAACAGGTGGTTGTACCACCCATTGTTTTGTGTTTCCTCACATTTTCCAGTTGGTACATTTATACAGTAGATAAGGTTAAACTATGTCAGCAACAAACAAAACATCTAAAAATAATGTAAATCTCTCTTTTCATTACTCTGTCAGCATTTATGTCAGAAATTTTTAATTTATCAGGGATTTCACTATAACAAAAGATTATTAGATGTACATCGTTTTATTTGTAATCGGTATTGATACTGGAAATAAATTGTGGTTTTACTGAAGGTCTGGATTGCACTTTAGAAATAAAAACCAGTGAATTAATCCATTAATCTCTTTAAACTTCAATCTCTGAAACAAAATTTAAAACTGATGGTCATATTAACAGAGCAAAATGATGGCTCCAATTCTGTGCTATTAACCAACAGGCCAACACTACAATATCTGACTGGGAATGTTTCAGGTGATTTTTTTCTATTTAAGACTCAAGCCTGAAGGTAAAAGTTGGGGCCTTCACTTGGGTTCATGGCTTTTAATTGAGATCATGTTAAATATTGACCCCTGAGTCTTTACTTTTTCCTGTTTTTGAAGCAAGAACCTAATTAAATATTACTTTCCACCTCCATTAAGCGTATAATTCAACAGTTAAATCTTTTAATGTTCTCTTCAATTATAAAGATTCTGTGCATAGTTAGATCCCTTGCCATATGTCATGAACAAAGATAATAATGAGACATATTTATGTTAAGCCTTTTTAGAATGCTGAATTGAAGGAAAATATTTCTATAATGTATTTGGGTTATGTAATCATTTAATTAGGGGGTATTGTGTTTGGGTTCCTTGAACATGATAACTATAAATTCTCCATACAGGTGTTCTTACAAACAATACCAGTATTTGTACATAATTAAAGAAACATGTCTTGTAAAACAGCTTAATATTTAGCAATACTGCTGTAACATATTTTTAGAATATCTAACATATTAATACTGTCTTCTCTATTCCAGGTATTTGGCTCTAAATTTATTATTTTTTGTTGTAAATTTCATTGATTTAAAACTTTTGCTCAGTTTTTATATGTCAGTTTTACCTACAATATAAGGTCTTATCTTATGTGAAGGATCTGATTTAAGTAGGCATCACAAAAAGGTAGGTTCTTGGGGTACAATTGAAAACAGTTATAACAGTAACTGAGTAACAGACATCAGTAACCATCATAATTGCAAAGGAGATGATGAACACTATACATATTTACTATACAAGATTTTTTTAATTGGTCAAGTTTAGCTTTGATTTAATTAATCAGAATTAATTTCAGCTGTAGGTAACATATTTACATGTGGATTTACATCTTGCTTTAGAAATACATGGCTTGATTGTGATTTTTTCACAATTTTTATTCTTGATGCTTTGCTAAAATGTGTGTCCACGACTTCTAAAACCATTTACGTCCAGCAGCTGAAGCCTTCCAACACACGCATTTAAGATTTACTTTTAAATCAAGCACAAGCGTAAAAAAGAAGGTTCGGAAAAGTAACATTTTATAACTGTTGAAATTCCCATTAAAGCTTTTTTTTTTAATGAAAGCTTTTGCAAGCCTAGGGAATGCAATGTCTGCAGTGATTTTATTGTTTTAGTGTTTCCTTAACTTTTTTCCTGTTTTATTCTTAATTCTGTATTATGAAAATACAAATTATTGCAGTTTAACAGATGAATTAATATTCATCCTTTTCTATTTTTGAAAATTTAATTTGTTCCAATTCCAGGTAGAAAGCTTCAGTAACAATCATACTGTTTAGTGGTAAATGTGAAGGCTACATTTCTTGTCTGAGTATTAGTGGTTTCTAGAGGATGTGTTCTACTGAGTGGCCTAGATAAAGGAAATCAAAATGTTCTAAGAAGTAGAGCAATGAAACGATTGTAGGGTGTAGTTTCACATCCTCCATTTGTCTTATGATAAATTGAATTGCTATTTATACACCACTGAAAATGTATCACACAGTACATAAATAAATAAAAATGAACTAGAATTCCATCTCTCTAAAGCACAGCCCATTTAGTGTTGCTATGGAAAGAGTTTGGACAGACATTAGTGTTAAAAGCATATTTTTTCTGGGTATTTTTGTAGTGTTGTTTGGCCACATTCTGTCATACAATGTGTGTTGTGGCATCCACAAGGTTTCCAGATACCACATAACGTTCATCCCGCAACCCTGTGGAATTCGGACAATCTTCAATCCTGACAATTGTGAACTCTGTCGTAGGTAGTGTGCATAACTGAGATCGGCTGTAAATGAATCCTTTCATTTCCTAAATACGTTCCGTTGCTTCGTTGAGAAGTGACTAGCTTACTACGCCCCTCAAGCAAACACTGGATCAGCAGCTAGATCACTGAGCCCCATTATTTGAGGAACAGAAATCCACTCAAGTGCAGCTGGTGAAGCAGCACTTATGAGCATGCTCAGTAAATCTGTGATCCGTGCTGTACTGGATGGTCAATGAAGGAGTATACAAATGCAGTCTGACAGAAACCTGCTTTATGTGATAATGTCTATGTGTGTAGGCCTGTGTTTAGGGCTGGTAGAAGCAAGCTAAGCAAAGGCACTCTATTTAGGACATTAGAAAAAAGACCTGGTACCTTCTGACTTTGCATTTGTGCCAAGACCAGATAAGTGCCAACAATCATTCTTTACCTGGAGAGCAGGCAGCTTGAAGAATGAAGAGATTAATTATATGACCAGCTCTTTTGAATCAAACAGATTGCTGGATCTGGATTGTCTCGCCTGCTGCCCACATCTGATAAAGTTTGATATATTGTCTAAAGTCATTACTTAATGAGCATGCACATAAAATAACTGTGGTGAAATTTGTGCAGATATTATTTACATTTGGAATCCTTAATAGATTTGTGAAAATTACATTTAGATTCTTATGCAATGTAACAGTTCAGACAGAGCTCAACATACTGTATTACTCTAAAAACATGTCGGAAACATGAGTCAGTGTCATTCATTTGGTCTCTTCCATAACCCAATTACCTTTATTTTAAGAAATAGTTTGCTTTCTAGCAGTGTTCTTTTATAAAATTTTTGGGACTTATCTATTCAAAGTATAAATACTGTTTGGTTTTCCATTTTAATATTGTCAGTTAAAATCTTCACATGTTTTGTGGAATTTACTTCCCATGGCACACTTTTAATAAGTGACCTTGATTATCCTATTATGCATTAGATTATCAGCTTTTTACTAACAAAATGTAACATGACATTTAAATGCATGCAAGCCTGTACTAGTACATCTTAAAATAAGCAAAGCAAACAAAAGAACTTAAACCCTTTAAGCAAGTTAAGCAGAAAATTGGAACTGTTCAAATCCAAGCTAATCCACTAAAGCATACTAGTTAAGGTTTTCTCTGGTCAGATCTTTCAGTGAATTTTTTTCTCTTTTGAGGTTTTTGTGCGTCCTTTATTTTGTATGGTATAACATGTTTAAAAACAGGGCTAGAAAGCTTTCACCAGATGCCAGTTTCATTTGTAAAATGAAGTACTGATTAAAATTTGTGTATAATTACAACCGCTCTTTCAATTTTTGTCAAATGAAGGTGCTGACTCAATTACTGCAGGTAAGATGCTGAAGAGATAAGGCATAGTTAAAAATGAAAACACTTCCCATAAATATTCTAAACGCTTTGTTTAATAGTTCTGACCTTTGCAAAGAATGTTCTGTGTATATTCAAGTATTAAAAAAGGCTTGAACTTTTTGCAGTGCTTTCTTTTTAGTTTTGTAAACACGCTGTAGATTAAAATTCAGAAACTGATGTGTATGATTTATATTGGGGACATTTCTGAGAAGTATCATTTTATTTAGCCAATGGGTTGCGATGTATCTACCCTCTATAAATCCTAGAGGTTTCTCATCAATTTCCCCTACCAATTAAAAGATTAAAAGCAAGTGTTATGAAGATCAGGCAATTATGGACAAATTATCACAACAAAATGTATTGAAAAAGAAGGCCACTCCTTTATTTTTTTTCTTTTTCTTTTTGGAATTAATGATTTCTCTTGGCTCTGGATCAAAACCTTTAAACTCTGTTACTGTGGCACAATTTTTCTTTTCCACTACAGCATTTGAAAAGGGTACCCATTGCGGAAAAATGAAATCCAATTTTTTTCCTGATTGCAATCTAACATTATGTTGCGTCAACAATATTCTTAAGAAAAGGGTGATTCACAATCAACACGTTCAGCTCCAAGCATACATAATCCCACCTATACACCAACACACAATTCATCTAGAATAGATCAGACAATTTATAGACTATATGAGTGGGGTGCAGTGATGCAGTTCCTTTTGCAGTGATATCTATTAAGAATAAAAAATGTATGATTATAGTTTAAGCTTTAAGCAAAATAATCTTGAGTACGATACTTCCGTAAATGCAGTTCTATTTTATAACACTTTGCCATGTATTATAGAGATGAAAATCCAATAGAAGCAAGAACTGTGCTCGTTTTGGGAAAGAAACTTCCTGAACAAATTGAAATCAGGTAACTGTTGGTAATTTTTGCTCTTTGATTTTTCTTAATGTGTGATTTAATACAAAGTAGCACTGAGATGTATTTGCATTACCCCAACATGAAAACTAACAATCATGAGCAAGGCTGGCATGCTTGCAGAGATAACGTTGTTCTTTTTTCTTATTTCTTGTTCCCCTCAACTTGTCAAGTGCTTGAAACAAGAGAGTTAAATGTGTTGCTTGGTGTCTGTAAGTGCTATTCGGTGGCTGGTGTGAAGAGATTATTGTGTTTCTTAGTATGTTGATTTGCCTTGAAGTCTTGCTGTGTTTCACACCCATCTTTTGTCAGATTAAATTAGTTTTATACTTTTATACACTTTTTGCAGTGGTGCTGAAAAAGGTAGAGCTACACCCGACAGATTATAACATTGCTGACTAGAAACAATATTCCATTTTAAGAAGTAGTCCCTAGTTTCTTAATGAATACATTTCTTGGTCTGAAGTCAACACAAACTCTTACATACTTAAACAGAATGTTTCACGTGTTCATTTGTTCATTGTTGTGTACATTGCGCAAGTAACTCTATGTTACAGCTCTGTGTGCAGCTCTGTGGATATGATGTTTGAGTTCATTTTATATCTTTCATAGTACATAGTACATTAATCCTGTTTATTAATCTAGTTTTCAGTGCATTTCCTTATAGGTTTTGTTTCATTGTTGCTTAGTAATCAGATCCATCAAAGCATATTTAAGGTAAAGAACAACTCACACGCTTCTGTTTAAACTGTATTTTCTATCACAATGGATTCATAGATTTATAATCTTTGATTTTCGGTTTTTAGCTGTGAAAATAAAAAATAAGGAACCTTGTTGAAACAGACTATAGAGAATTAGAAAAAGGAATGGAGTATTAACTGGGACAGGAAAAAATGCATCAAAGACTAGACTGTTTTTTATTGTATATACATTGCCAGGGTTAGTGCTCATCATTGTTCCTGAAGGTGTGTAGCAATGTATTTAATGCTTATTAAATGTGTGTATTGTGTTTAAGGAGTTCATCGGAAGAACAGTGCCTCAACAAGACAAGGCCTGCCTTGACTTTGAGCTCATGTATTCAAGCTGCAAAGCCTAGCTAGCTGTGCTTCAGGTCTATCTGCACATGTTGTCTGTGGGAGGCCTGTGAATTAATATCTGACAGATTCGATTTAAAGGTTGTGTGTAAATGGTCCTTTGCTGTAGGTTTGGATTTTTATTAGTCATTCCAAATCAGACTTTGACACATCTAATGGTGTTTTATGGAGGGAATAGTCTTCCAGAGCTGACAGGCTAAGGCCCGAGTCTACAGCTGTCTTTTTCAGAAAACTTGGGAAGTTCACCATAGTCCTGACACAAAGAGCATCATTGTTTTTCTGACCTGAACTTTCTGTGTGCTTGTGCTTTTTCTTGATTTCAGCTGTATTATATACAGTATGTCTTTAGTAAGTCTCAAAGATTGGGTTTGTGCTCTTTAATAGTGAAATCCATATGGTAGAAGTGTAATATTATTCTCTCTTGAAGGCCTTATTTCAGTTGCTTTTCCATTTCATTACTGTAAAGTGCTCTTTTAAAAATTGTTTTGCAATGCAGTCTCTGTTTCTATCATCAACAAATCTAACAAATTAAGGATTCATGATTTATAAATGAATTGAAACAAACAATGTTGAGATGCTTTGATGTTTTGGAAAAAATACACTTTTTAAAAGTATTTATATACTTCACATTGTTGACTTGAGAGAACACAGGAACATATGCATGTCAGATGTTCAGAGAAATGTCCATGTTTCTCTGACTAAAAATCAGATTGAGTTGTAGAGGAGCCCAGCTATAACACATCTGGTTATTCAAAGGACCTAATGTACCTAATGTTGTGTTGTATCACAGTACATGTTGAGTCATGTGAAGTACAATGTGTATCACAATTAAAAGTAGTTCAAAAGAAAAGAGGTATCTCATCTTTTGATATATATATTATGTAATATAATATTCCAATATATAATAATATATATATGGTACATATAAATAATATGTAATTATATGTTATATAAAAATTATTTTGTTCAGGTTCTATTTACAAGTTAAAAAATAAAAATTTATGAAAACTATGAATACATAGAGTCTTTTTATACAAATTCAAAGGTCCGTGAGACCTTTTATTGGCAGATGAGTCTTTTAAAGCAAATTAATTTAAACATCCCAGCCAAAAACCTGGATGGTATTTACTCTGGACACCTTTTTCTGCATGAGCCGTTTTCATGTGAGCCAGTCTTATTTCTAGAAAACAATAGAACAGAACATGACCTGGGATTTTAAACTCTTCTAAGAGTTATACTGTATTTTCTATATAGCAGCTGATACTATCCACTTGGAGGTGGTGGTTTTTGTAAAGTAAAACTGTTCAAACCAGATACTAGTGTCGGTACAAGAAGAATGTAGCTGACATCACCAATTGAAATAATTTAAAAAATAGACCAGTGTCCTCGGTATTATTATCTTTTTGCGTGCTCCTTCTCTGCTGGCCTGTATTGGTAAGGGAATCAAAGAAAACAGAGCTAGTAATCATGACAAAGAAGTGAGGTACTGTATACCTTGTTCGGGATTAACTCCATTCTCCTGAGTTCGATAGACTGGCAGTTGTTTAAAAAGAGAACTTAACAGATTTTCTTTGTCTTCCTGAGTAGCAACTTTGGAGTGAAATGTTGAAATAACAGTTTGCGTTCTGATGAAAACTAAAAGGAGAAACAAGATAGGGGAGGCTATATTTATTAAAATGACAATATGGAGTTGAAATGTCTTTATTTAAACAGCTATAGTTCCTTCATACCATACAGCAGTGGCAAATGTGGAGCTCAAAGCTCATTAATCAGGGATAACCTCCGCTGCAGACACATCTTGAGTATCAGCGTGTATCCTACATAAACCAAAAATCTTCAGTTTTGGGACAGTATGAAAGCATGGAAACATTTTTGAATGAAAATATGCAACAGAAGAAATTAAAATTCAGTGGTGCACGTTGCACCAGTAGTCAAGCAATGTCAAAGCTTAAGATTAAGTTCGTGCTATTTTAATTATTAGTATGACACTTGCATTGCTAGTCCTGAATCGACTGGTTTCATTGACTTTTTATTATCTGTTAATCTTATTCTACTCTATTGTATCCTGTACAGTGGTTCTTTATAATTACACTTAATTTCTGCACTGTAAGTCTCCATGGATAAGTGCATCTGCTAACCTAATTATCATCATCCAGGGCTCAGGTGGGACAAGGTGAAAATCTATCCAGTTGACTGCCATGACTGGACACCATTGTTCATTGTTCAAACATTCTTTGACTTTGACCCAGAACTTACAAGAGCTCTGATGATATTTCAGTGTAGCTCCAAAGTGGCCCCAGATACATTTTGGTAACCAGTCACCTGCTACATTGTGTCTGACCTCCCTGAACTCTGGGTCATCTGGGATCTTTGGATACTGCTGAGCTAGTAATGATTTTCTGCCTTGCATTTGCTCTCCAGGATGTAAAAATAGATAAACATATTTGTCTGATGCTGATTGTGTGTTTATCATGGGGTGTTTCTTCACAATAATTTCCACAAAGGGGCAATGACATTCTCTCACACCCATCTCTCAGTAATATAAGATTCAATGAATATTACTGAAATAGTCAATAATAATTAATTGCCTAGGTTTTTTTAAGTATACTCCTTATCCCATACCAAAGTTAAGTGAATCATCAAGTAAATGGTTTTCTGATCTTTTTGAAAGCGTGTACTATGGTGTAAGAGTGGACATTACAAAAAAGCCTCCCTCGCTTTGTTTAGTTAATCATTTGTCTTTTTACACAAAATTTGTAATTCGTGATTAAATTTAATAGAACCTTTGTTGTCAGATATATCAGCTTAAATTTTATTACTAAATTATTAAAATAAATTATATGGTGTCTTAAAATCTACTGTATCATTGGCATTCGGGATAGTTTTGGTGTTCATGCTGAAGAAACAATATAGATCAAAGAAACAGCATTTGTTTGAAATTCATCTGTATGCCATATGAATTCATTCACACATTTCATGGATGGATACTTGATTAATTAATAGTATAGTCTCTGTTCTGTCAGAGAAAGTCTTGGAATTATGGGATGGTTTCCTGGGATTCTTAGCTATGGAATGGATTTGTGACGAATGCTGTAAGGGTACTTTATCTTATGACAGTGGAATGTGTTATATAAGCACTGAAGTTTGTAGAATACCAAATATAGCTAATGTCTGACAGCCTTTATCTCTGTGGTACTGTAGGTTTTTGTGAAAAGCCTCCTTTACTACTTAAAGACTATTTGAAATCATCTCTAAGATTTATTTTGCATATGTCTTGTTAGTGAGACTTGACCACAAATGTTTCATCACAGAAAAAAATGACCACTATTGTTTCAGTGAAGTGTAATGGTGTTTTGTTCGCCGCAGTGAAGATCTGCAAATGAAAGTGCAAAAATGTTTCTGGGAAAACTTTTTAATGTGTTTCTGTGGTTCATTGTATTTGTGATAATATAAAATACTTTATAGGAAATAGATACTACTGCGTTGTAGTATTCATAACAGGCACTTAACATATGACTGCACAATAGATGTCGCTTTGAAAGATAAGTATTTTGGATAATTGTGGGAACTGTAGTTTGGCATTTAAATTTTTCCTAATAGACAACTTCAAGGCAAAAAAAAGGTTCTCTAGTTTGTGCAAGGGAAGCAGGATGATAAGGCATAAGATGTTTTTTTTTATTTCTCTCAGAAGTATGTTTTATAGGCTTCTTTTTAAATGCTTTACTCTCCACCAGAAAGTCATCATTGTCTTCTTGGATATTCATACACTGCTAGCCTTCATCCCTGGTCATTTCAAGAGTCATTTCCCACACGCTTTTATGTCATAGACCTCTGCAAGCCTGTAGTGTTTTTGCTGTGATCGAGTGAGTGCCATTGGGCATTTTAAGAAAGTGAGTATCT